ATGCAGAGAAAATGCTGGAGTAGATTTTTATTATATCTAGCTGGCTTTTTATATTTATTTATTTATGGTACCGGGGATTGAACTCGGGTCCTTGCGCTTGCGCAGCAGGCGGGGAAACCACTGATTTAGCTGGCTTTTTAAAGAAATGACATTTATTTATTTTATTTTTTTTTTGGTGCCAGGGATCAAACTCGGGACCTTGTGCCTGTGAGTCAGGTGGCAGAACCACTGAGCTAAATCCCTGGCCCTAAGAAACGACATTTAAACCGGCCCTAGGGCTGGGGATTTAGCTCAGTGATTTTGCTGCCTGACTCCAAGGCGCAAGGACCCGAGTTCGATCCCTGGTACCAAACAAACAAATAAACCGGCCCTGGTAGCCCACACCTGTAATCCCAGCAGTGGGGCTGCTGAGGCAGGAGGATCCCCATGAGTTTGTGGCCAGCCTAGGCTATATAGTGAGTCAAGGGATATTTAACTGAATATTACTTCAGATTAGGAAAACATAAGCAGAGACTAAAATATGCAAAAACAAAACTGGTGGTAACGTGTAAGGTGAAAGCTAGCAAGATTGGGGGGTCCCCTAGGTTCAATCCCCAGTAACACAAGGTGCAGGGGAGCAGGTGGAGAAAGGGAGAAAAAGTAAAAGAAAAGGCGATGGTTTCAGGTGGCTGGAATATACTACTAAACTAGGAAACTGTTTAGGAAAGTAGGCTAGCTTAGATCCAGGTCAGTGTAGTCTTAAAATCGAGACAGTTTGCAGTTTATCTCTCCCCTCCCCTTAAAAATCATTCAAATGTATTAAGATTGGACCTGCATAGGAAAAAACTAAAGAAAGACCAGAATTTAAATTATACAATAGGCAGATGCAGCAGGAATTTGCACTAGAATAATAACATAATTCAAATATAGGATCGACAACACATTGTCAGCAAATTGACAAATAAATCAGATAATGGAGAACTGGAGGAATAGAAGCCAAGACAATGCTTACGGTTTTAAAATTGTGGGAAATAAGATATGCTGTCATTAAATACAGCAAGAGGTAGGGAACATGAATAAAGAGCAGATTTGAAAGAAAGATGAGTTAATTCGGATCTTGTGACTTTGAAGTGCTGGCATTCTGCTGGAGAAGTATGGTATGATAGGCAGTTGAAAAGCTACCAAGACCCAAGATGTGGGAATTATTTGCAAAGTGATTTTTGAGATACTGAGATTACAAAAGAAGAGAAAAAAGGCGTGGAGAGTGAATGGAGAATAGCAGAGAGCAAATTCTAGGGAAGTACCTCTTAGAAAGATGGGAAGATTCACAAGGTCAAGGTCCCGAGTTCAGTCCCCAGTACCAAAAAAAAAAGGTGGGAAGGAAAGAATGAAAGAGGCTGGACACCGTGCATGTCTGCAATCCTAACACTCTGGGAGGCCAGCCTGGGCAGCTTCTTAAGAAGACCCTGTCTTGGGCCAGGGATTTAGCTCAGTGGTTCCACCGCCTGCCTTTAAAGCGCAAGGTCCTGAGTTCGATCCCCGGTACCAAAAAAAAAAAAAAAAAGACCCTGTCTCAAAATTAATACGGAGCAGGAGAGGTTTCCTGGTGATGTAGTTCAGTGCAAAGGCCCTGGGTTTGATCCTCAGAACTGGGAGGGAAAAAGGGGGGGGTGGAGAAGCAAGTAGAACCAAGAGAAGACAACAGTAAAAGAACCAGGGAAAAATATTTTCATGAAGAAATAAGATTTAGGCTTGTTTTCTTTAGAAAGAGCTCTGTTGTAATCTCAGTGTTATGTATGTTGTCTGTCAGTATCCCACAGATTGGTCCTAGGACCCTCAGCCAATACCAAATTTGAGAATGCCCAAGTCCCTTAAGAAAATAGCATAGTATTTGTATGTAACCTGGGCATATCCTCCTTTATACTTTATAAAACCATCTCTGAATTACTTAAAATACTTAATGCAGGATAGGTGCAGTGTAAATAAGTTGTACTCTGTTGTTTAGGGAATGACAAAAAATGTCTGTACATGTATGATGCAGATGGGAGTTTTTTGGGGTTTTTTTGGTACCGGGGATTGAACTTGGGTCCTTGCACTTGCGCAGCAGGCGGCGAAACCACTGAGCTAAATCCCCAGCCCAAGACGTAGTTTTAAAAAAAAATCTTCTTGAATTTGCATGTAGAACCCATGGACCCACGGGGTACTATTCTATCATCTCATCTGTTACATTGTTGAGCATTGTTCTTTTCACATATGTTCATAATAATTAAGCAGTTGTTAAGGACACATGGGCACTCCCTTGCCTATCTTTAAGGATTAACATCTGGGAGAATATTATATAACTATCTGAGGTTCAAGCCTCTGATTGTATAGATTAGTGTCCTGCTAACTTGAAAGTAAACTTACTGGTAGTAATGTATGCTTTGCAGGGGTTTGTTTGTTTGTTTGTTTTTTTGGTACCAGGGATCGAACTCGGGTCCTTGTGCTTGTGAGGCAGGTGGTGGAACCACTGAGCCAAATCCCCGGCACAACTTCGCAGGTTTTTTAAATCAAGTTACCTGTTTCATATATCCTTTAGGGTTTTTTTTTCTAGTACAGAGAATTGAACCCCATAGCCTTGTTCATGCAGGGAAACACTCTACCTTGAGCCGCATGATGTGTTCTTAATCTTGTTTTTTGTTTTTCTTTGGTAAATTATAGAAGTCCTAACCAGCAGTAATCAAAGAATCTCAAAGTGCACAGAGGAAAACAGTTAATTGGGTTTAGAGATTCATTAGATATATTTTTATCTTACACTGTAGCTGTTTGGCGAATTTAGAAAATCTTCAGATGATATTACTTTTACCACTTTTGTAGCTGTCTTCAGAAATCAAACAGAAAGCTAGAAAGGCAATAGCTTGCTTATAAGTGAAAAAAAAAAAGATTTCAGCTGGGGGTGTAGCTCAGCGGCGCAGCACCTGCCTGGCAAGCACGAGTTTCTGAGTTCAATTTCTGGTACCAAAAAAAAGCCCCCTGAAGCTGATTTATTGAAAACCTGACAAAGGACTAGCAGCAGGGTCAGTTAATTTGTTGCATTTTATCCAGAAAAGATAAAGATTACACTGTTAGTGACCTCCAGCATAGCATTGAAAATAGAAAAATGTACCACATCTGTAATCCCAGTTTGTAGGCCAGCGTGGGCTACATTGTGAGTTCAAGGCCATCCTGAGTTACATCGTGAGACCCTGTCTCAAAAAAGAAAAAAAAATTGTCTTTATTAAAGATTTTTAGACTGTCAATAATTGATCATGATTTGATTTGGCATTTTATAGTCAGTCCATTTGTATGACAGAATAGACTTTTGAATACATAATACAGATTATCGGGACAAGGGAAAATAAGAGTAATTGGTAGCTGGTTTGGTTTATAGTAGTATTTGAAGCATCCTATTCTGTGTGACATTAAAGATAATCTGAACAAAGTACACACCTAAAATTACAGATATTATCTGTTAAATTAGTACTGTGCAGCACCTTTATAATTACCCTTTAAATAGAGGTTATCAGGACAAAGTTAACAATTGTTAAAAATACTGGCAGTGGGGCTGGGGATTTACCTCAGTGGTGACGTCTCCTGCTTCGAAAGCGCAAGGTCCCAAGTTCAATCCCTGGTACCAAAAAACAAAAAATACTGGCAGCATATGCCCTTAATATAGAAAAAAATTTTTTTTTCTTTTTGTTTTTTGAGGTAGGGTGTCTCCCTTTGTAGTTCAGGCTAGCCCTGAACTTGCTATGTAGCCCAGGCTGGCCTTGAACTCACAGCTATTCCTCCTGCCTCAGCCTCCTGAGTGCTGGGATTACAGGCGTGTGCCACCACGCCCAGCTCAATGCAGAAATTTTTTATGTGGTTTGAATACTATGTTTTGATTTTTTTTGTCCAAGGAAGAAATTGTTTTACCTCTTCAAGGTTGGATTTAATGAAAACATTTGTTAGGATACTTAAACACTTTTCATTGAGAATTTAAAATTGTTGGATATTTAAACACTTTTCATTGAGAATTTAAAATTTGTCTTTTAATTTGGACAAGTTGTCTGATGAGTACATTTTTAAAATAAAAAATAGCTTATGCAAAGTAGAAAATAATACATTTTAATTTTCTAACATTTTCTTGTGGTTGATTGGTTATAATAGTGCACAAGTTCTTATTATTTGTTGAATTCTCTTACCTGTCATCCTAGAAAAGCAAATATGCTCATATTTATGTTCTGTTATTAAGCCTTATTTAAGTTTAAACTTTAAGATGTATGGCTGTGAAAGTTTTTTCCCCTTATTTTCTATATATAATACACATTTGAGTGGGAAGGTAGGAAGATGCCTAATTATTCCAAGTCTTGCTTCCATTATATTTGCAATTCTGAAGCCCATCTTTGAACAAAGATAGTATCACAGAGTATTTAATATTTTCAGAAGCACAGTCCATTCTTTGTTCTATAGATCTTTGAATAATATTGACCAGAAAATGTATTTGAAGAGGTTCTTTTTGATTTTTTGAAACAAGAATCTTGCTCTGTAATTCATGCTGGTCTTGAACTCACTATGTAGCACATGCTGGCCTCAAATTTGTGGCAGTCCTCCTGCCTCAGCCTCTCAAGTGCTGAGATTACAGACTTGTGCTGCCACACTGCTTGAAGAGGTAACCTCTAAAATAAATAAATAGGGCCGGGGATTTAGCTCAGTGGTTCCGCTGCCTGCCTTGCAAACACAAGGACCTGTGTTCGATCCCCAGGACCGACCAAATAAATAAATAAATAAATACATACATACATACATACATACATACATACATACATAAATAAATAAATTTTTATGGTGCTTGAGACTGAACCCAGGGCCTCACACGTTAGACAAGTGCTATACCTACTGAGCTATATCTCCAGCCCTAAATTTGTTTTAATGTAATATTAATGGTGAATTTAGTGCATTTAAACTATATTAAATAATTTAAGTGATTATTTAATTATTATATTTCTGGTTATTTGTAGGCGAAACCTAACCAAACTGTCCCTGATCTTCAGCCACATGCTGGCAGAGCTGAAAGGCATCTTTCCAAGTGGACTCTTTCAAGGAGACACATTTAGGATCACCAAAGCAGATGCTGCAGAGTTTTGGAGAAAAGCTTTTGGAGAAAAGTGAGTCTCAAAGTGATGAAATTGAACTGTGAAAAACTGAAGCTTATCTGAAGTTTTTGTTTAGTGTTTTATTAATGAAATACTTAAAACAAAAACTTTGAGAAAAATAAGTGTATTCATTTCTTAGCTTTGGTAAATAATCAACATTTTTTCTCAATCATTTTTTTAAAGAAATGAAAGTTGTACAGATACAGTTGAAGCCCATGCTTTTGGGGGGGGGGGCGCAGGGATTGCACTCAGGACCTTGCACTTACGAGGCAGGAGACGGCACCACTGAGCTAAATCCATGGCCCTGGCCCATGCTTTTTAATTAATTACACTTCCCTTTTTATATCCATTCTGTTCTTAGTGGACATTCGCATTTCACCTAATTTGCTGTTGAAAACAGTGCTGCAATGCCCAATATCTTAGTTGTCTTTATAAGCAAGAATATCTCTGTAGTTACATACTTAAGAGTGGAATTACTGAGTATTGCCTAATTGCTTTCCGAAGTGGTTATACCAGTTTATATTCTAGTAAGTAGTATATAAGAGTTCAGGGCTGGAGGTGCAGCTCTGTGATAGAGGGCTTGTCTAGTATACATGACGGCCTGGGTTCAATCCCTATCAACAACTAAGAATAAATAAATAAAAATAATTTCATACATAAATTATAGACCAATTCATAATTTTAAAAGCCTAGTTGAGAGGTTGAGAGCGTAACTCAGTGGTAGAGTGTATACTTTCTTTTTCTTTTTTTTTTGGTACCGGGGATCAAACTCAGGTCCTTGCACTTGTGCAGCAGGGGTCGAAACCACCGAGCTAAACTTATTGTATGTATTTAACCCCCAGCACCCACTGTACCTCCAAAGCCTAGAACTTGAAGAGGATGGGAATGAATTTAGCTTTGTTCTTTTTTTTTTTTTTGGTATGGGGATTGAACTCAGGACCTTGCGCTTGTGAGGCAGGCGGCGGAACCACTGAGTAAATCCCCGGCCCTAGCTTTGTTCTTTTAACTCTACAGCTACATTGGAAAAGAGACCAAATAATGTCTCAAAGTCTTTTCCAATGTAGCTGTAGAGTTAAAACAGGGTCATGCTAAGTTCCTAAATTGCCCACTTTGGTCTTGAACCTCTGGTCTCAGTCTCCTAGTGCTGGGATTACACTTGTGCACCATCACACCCAGTTGGCTTGCTTTCTTTTTCTTAATAATTGCAATGCCTGGAATTATCTCTATTGTCTCAGTTTGTGCCTTCTGTCTCACCCTACCCTAGGACAATAGTCCCTTGGAAGAGCTTTCGACAGGCCCTACATGAAGTGCATCCTATCAGTTCTGGGCTGGAGGCTATGGCTCTGAAATCTACCATTGATCTGACTTGTAATGATTATATTTCAGTTTTTGAATTTGACATCTTTACACGACTCTTTCAGGTAAGATACTAAAAATGTTGGCTGTCCTGGTTACTGTTTCTTTTCTAAAGAGAAAGCTTTTTGAACAACCTAACATTTGAGTCTTTCTATTATAAAAGTATTTTAATTCACAAAAAGAAAACCTTAAAACTATTCTGTATTATATGCATGAAATATAATTATACAGTCTTCTTATTATTATTCTTTGCATTATTTTAGTGTTTATAGAGGTGCTAGAAAATGGAGTATATGTTAAAAAAATTTTTTGGGGAATACTTGGGACTGAATTTAGGGCCTTACACATGCTAGGCAAATGCTATACTACTGAGCTACATTCCCCAGGTACCTCACCCCTCACCCTGCACCTTTTTAAAGTTTTATTTTAAGATAATGTCTCCCTGAATCATCCAGCTGGCCTTGAACTTGTAGTAGCTAGTGGTATGTGCCACCTGGCCCAGCTGATTATAATATGTTTTACCTGTTTTCTAATACTGGACTCTAGTCTATATTTCCATTTTTTTCTTCTTGCTATGAAATTTTTGACTGTTAATGTAAAGACGTATTGATGCTTCAAAAAGAATTTATTTCTTTCAATGTTTTCTCTGGTGGATACATGCCAATTTACATAAATATTTATTTGGAATTCATTAATTGCACAGGCCCTATTGTGTTTTCTGATTTTCATTTGTTTTAACCTCACTACTGGTTAAAGCTACTGTACAATTTCTTTAATTTCATTTTGTTTAGTTAAGTTTCTTTCTACTGCGTATATCCTTTTCATCTTAGCTTTTCATCTTCAAATATATTCTCCTAGAGTAACAGTGTAACTGAGAATTTGTGACAATCAGATGAGAATTTATCATTGAGAATTGAAGATTTTTCTCTTGCCTTTCATTGTTCTGAGGCTGGTTGTGTCTTGAGCCAGATAGTCTGTGATTGATCTCTTGTTTCTTTAGCCCTGGTCCTCTTTGCTCAGGAATTGGAACAGCCTTGCTGTAACACATCCTGGTTACATGGCTTTTCTGACATATGATGAAGTAAAAGCTCGGCTCCAGAAATTCATTCACAAACCTGGCAGGTCAGTGCCATAAAGCAAAGAGGTTTATTCTCCTGTTTTATTCTCTTGTGACTTCTGCTGGAATAGGAGATAAATGGTCTTGTATTAGTTCCTCAGTGGCCAGGATTCTTTAATAGGATTTATGTCTGTTTATCAGAGGAATTGACTTATTAAAATCCTATGGTTTGATAAATGATTTGATAAAAGCCCCTTAAGATTGGAGTTTAGGTGTCCTTTATTTCTGGTCTGGAGTCATTAAAGAAGTTATGCTTGCTTCTTTTTCCATGTTCCTTTTTTGGAGCTGGGAATTCAATCCAGAGCCTTAGGCATGCTAAGCAAGAGCTTTTCTACTAAGCTACCCTCAAGGCCCTGAAGAAGTTATCCTTAATGGTCTCTTTGATTTTTGTCTCTATCTTACCTTCTACCTTAATACCAGTACATATATTAAAATCTTTGCTCATCTTTGTTCTCAGTTACATCTTCCGGCTGAGCTGTACTCGTCTGGGTCAGTGGGCTATTGGGTATGTTACTGCTGATGGGAACATTCTGCAGACAATCCCTCACAATAAACCTCTCTTCCAAGCACTGATTGATGGCTTCAGGGAAGGCTTGTGAGTACTCACTGTTACTATCTACTACAGGCTAGGAACCTAGGCTCAGTAACACTTCATCGTTAATTACTTTATTCCAGGTTTCTTCTATAGATTAAGATTCAGAAACATATTAACAGGTTATATTTATTTGACCTTCAGATTCTGTAGAACTTTTGTATGTATGTATTTACTTATTTTTGAGACAGGGTCTTGCTATGTACTTCAAGCTGGCCTTGAGCTCATTATGTAGCCCAGGCTGGAGTTGAATTTGAAATGATCCTCCTGCCTCAGCCTCCCAAGTGCTAGGATTACAAGTGTGCACCACCGCACCCGGCTATTTATAGGAATTCTGTAAATGAACTTTTTTTCTGTGCTGCTTCAGTTATTACCATGAATAAATTTTATCTTTTTTCTAAATACTAACTTATTTTCAAGTCTATAAAAGAAGTATAATTATAGAATTAGCATGAAACTTTGCCAGCAGTTTTATCAGCCAAAATTTAGATGTTAATAACGACAGTGGCCTCAATGACCTTCATTTCCTTCATCCCAACTTTATTTTGTCAGCAGTTTTTCCACAGGCTTTTAGCTTTTTTTTGTGGCACCAGGGATTGAACTCAGGACCTTGTTCTTGCCAGGCAGGCGCAGCGCCACTGAGCTATATCCCCAGCCTATTGGCTTTTGCAATGTATGCTAATATTTATGACTTAAGTTTTTACTTATTACAGAATTGCTATTCCTTAGGGATTTAATCAGTTGATCAAATTATCAGTAAGTACTAAAGACACTGTTGATAAGGTCTCAGAAAACTAGCATGTTTTAAAGTTATTAGGAAAATCCATTTTCCTTTATGCAGCATCTTCTACAGTAGAATTGGAAGAAATACTGCCCCAGATGTCAGAGCAGTTTGGTGCTAAAACCTCCCTGGTAGATGATCTCAATGGTTTAATTTGCTTCTTGGTACATTACCACTAAGTGGGTACCTCTAGCAAATGCAGTTTAAATTAAAAATTTATGTGTGGTCATCTGTTGATTAAAATAGCATTTTGCAAATTATGGCCCACGGTCCAGCGTTTTGGTACAGCCTGCAAGCTGTAAGATAGTTATTTCTTTTTAAAGTACTGTTTAAAAGAAGAAAAGACAAAGACATAGACTTATGTGACCTACATAGCTTAATCTATTTAATATGGTCCTTTGTAGAAAAGGCTTTCCAGCCCCTCAGTTGGAAAATGAGCCTATGGCATTGTGCCCTGCAGGATATCTTCTTGGAAATGTGTGTTACTCATTTTTCTGAAGTTTTTTAAGACTTAGCTTAAATTTATACAACATTGTCCTTTTAGAATGGGAAAGTTGCTAGATATCATCTGTCTATATTAACAAGCACTATAAGATGGCTTTAGTAAGACCTCAAGGTTGGTTACACTTTTTACAGTTATTTATTTCCTGATGGACGAAATCAGAATCCTGACCTGACAGGCCTGTGTGAACCAACTCCCCAAGACCACATCAAAGTGACCCAGGTAAGGTTTGTTTTACATTATAACCATATCATTGGTTCCATGCTTTTGGATATACTTTATAGAATTGAAAATATAATTTAAGTGATTAGAACACTTAATTTTAAACCATTGACTACATAAGTGAATGTGTTTTTCTTTAAACCATGCAGCTTAAAATAGGATCAAGATTGAATGCTTTCTGGTTTAATGAGAGAATGTTGACCACTCCTGTTGCATTTTTATTCAAGCAAAACTTGTATAGAAAGTAAGAGCCTTCAGTTTTCTTGTAGCATTTACAGTTACAGTCATTCATTCAACGGTCTTTTAATTTTTTTTGATCAAAGGAACAGTATGAATTGTACTGTGAGATGGGATCCACGTTCCAACTGTGTAAAATATGTGCTGAAAATGATAAGGATGTAAAGATTGAGCCCTGTGGACATCTCATGTGCACATCCTGTCTGACATCCTGGCAGGTATGGATCTAAGCCATGCATTTTCTCAGATGTGTAATCCCTGAAGAGTTATTATATATCCTTTACAGATATAAGAGGTGGCCTGGTTTGTGAGGGAGGTTAAAATTTTTAATTTCTCTCTCTTTTTTTTGATGCTGAGGATTGAATCCAGTGCCTCCTACATTCTAAGCATGTACTCTGCCACTGAGCTATAAGCCTTTAATTTCATTTTTATCTCTACGAAATGTACTTAATGTTTTAAGTACTTTCAGATGGATGTGTTACCAATTTCTCCTTCTTCTGCAGGAATCAGAAGGTCAAGGCTGTCCTTTCTGCCGATGTGAAATCAAAGGTACAGAGCCCATTGTGGTAGATCCATTTGACCCTCGAGGAAGTGGCAGCTTATTGAGGCAAGGAGCAGAGGGAGCTCCCTCACCAAATTATGATGATGACGATGATGAACGAGCTGATGATTCTCTCTTCATGATGAAGGAATTGGCTGGTGCCAAGGTAAGACCATGGTGTAGGATGGCAAAATCTATGATTAGTGTTCTAAACCCATGGAGCACTTAATGACATCCAGACTACACAGGCAATAATAACTTATTGATTAAGCATTTGCTGTAAGACATACTGTACTAAACACATTACTTATAACTCATATAATCTTTAGCTTTACAACAACCCTTTGAGTAGGTGCTATCATCATTATCATCGTTATTATTGTTCTTTTGGTACTGAGTGAACCAAGGGGTGCTCTACCAACTGAGCTACATCCCCAGCACCCCCCCCCCCCTTTTAAATTTTGAGATGGTGATCTTATCCAGGCTGGCCTCAAACTTGGGAAACTTCTCCTCAGCCTCCAGAGTAGCTGGAATTTCAGGTGCACACCACTGCATCCAGCTTATCCTCATGTAATAAATGAAGAAACCAAACCACAGACAAGCATATGGCATGCTGCTGTAATCGTCATTGCTCTGGAGGCTGAGGCAGGAGGAGTGCAAGTTCAAGACCAACCTGGGCAACTTATTGAGACCTTATCTCAAAATTAAAACAAATTAAAAAAAAAAAATGCCTGGAGTTGTGGCTTATTGGTAGAGTACTTGCCTATCAGGCATGAGGTCCTTGGTTCAATTCCCAGGATGCACACATGCACACACAGAGAGAGGGAGAGAGGGAGGGAGGGAGAGAGAGGAGAAACTAAATAGTAAGAAAAGCCTTATTAAAGATAGAAAAGATAGAAAAGGTGAAAGATGATAGCAAAGAAAGAATGTGACAAGATGCTACTATTATCAGAAGAATGAGTTTTATTTCACCTTACTTCAACATCTCTATCACCTCTTCTTCCTGTTACAGGGTCATTGATCTATGACATGGATCTGACTACTTCATTCCTTTGCTTCCCGCACTATAATGACCTCATATTTCTTAATGAGTTAAGTTTGTTCTTTCCAGGCACCTTGCCTGATAAGTTCCTTTGCATTTTACACTTTTTGATCCAGTAAGCCTGAAACACTTAGAATTTCCCCCTGCCTTATCTGGGAGTTTCTGTGTAATTTAGCTCAGTCTTCACTTTCTGGGAAACCTTTTCAGACTGCACGTAGCCTCCCCACTCACAGTTCACATGCATTGACATACATGTAACCTAGGCCTGTCTGAGTGTTACTGGGACCCTAGGAGTAGGTCTGCCATAGAACCTAAGACTCTACAGGGCTTGGGGAGAAGCTTTGTGGTAGTCTTTGCTTAATATGGCCCTGGATCCAGGTTCCAGCACTGCAGTAAGAACTTAGACCATAAAATATTTTCTTAAAAGTATTTCCCATTCTAAGTTTTAGAAAAGCCATGTCTTGTTTGTAACTTAGCTGCTCAAAGTTGTACACATAATAGTTACTTTCATTGTTTGTTACTGAAACACTTCCAAGCAGAATTTGATAGATTTATCAGTGCTAGATTAGTAAAGATTAGTTGAGGAAAGCCAGACTGTTTGAATGGTATGTTCTTGGGCTGTGTGTGTGTGTGTTTCTTGAGACAAGGTCTTGTAGCCCAGGCTGGTCTCAAACTTGGGATCCCCTTGCCTTAGCCTCCCGAGCTGTGGGATTACAGGTATGTGCCATGAGCCTGGCTCATGCTTGGTATTTGAAGATGACAACAGTTAATCTTGGCCCTTCATAACAGGTTCAGTGTCAACATTTTAAGAGACTCGTGCTTCCTAAAGCAGTTTCATATTTTTATATAGATTACTATCTGCTCATTCATTAAAAGTTCACTGGCAACTCCTGAAATATTAGGGAAGATGAATAGTAAGCTAAATAGAGATAATCACATGTGAGTGTCTTTGAAATTCAAATGTCCTTTTTTTTTCCTTTATGAAATTTTATAGACAGGTAACAAACACTCACTGTGGAGAAGTATGTTCTCAGTGTTGATGTGAGTATAAGTTCCATCTTTTTGGAGGACAATTTAACATCTGTCAAACTATAATGAAATTGGAATTAGCAAATCTGTTTCTAGAAATTTATCCTAAACTATATACAATATAAGGGTATAAATATAGTTATTCTTGCAGCATTATTTGTAATTTTAAAAATGAAGAAAACCCCACATATCCATCAGTAAAAACTGTTACACCCATGTGTTGGTGTTCTATTGCTTCCATAACATCACCACAAATTTAGCAGCTTCATACAACACATATTTATTATTTGATGGCTCTGCAGGTCAGTTAAAAGTCCAAAACATGTCTCACTGGGCTAAAACTCCAGGTTCTACCTCGCCTGCATTCCTCAACTCCAGTGTGTATCTGGTTCCTCACTCATTTGGGCTTGATAAGATGTAGTTCTTTGCAGTTGTAGATTAAAATCCCCAGCTTCTTGCTGGTTTTCAGCTGGTGACTATTGTCAGCTCTTCAGGTCTAGCCTCCTTATTTGGCTTCTGGTCTCTTCCTCTTTTTTTCAGTCTTATTTCTTTGAGGTTCTCTGCTTTAAGGGTTTCTGTGATTAGATTGGCCCACCTGGGTTATCTGGGATAATTCTCCCATCTTGAGATCCAGATCCTTAATCACACTAGTGGAATACTTTTGCCAAATAAGGTTACCATAATCAAGGTTCTAGGGATTAGGGTGTGGGCATCTTTGGGGGACCACTATTCTGCCTACCACATTCCATATAATTAGATGTTCTGCAAAATCAGTTAAGTTAAAAAAAAAAAGTTAAGTTTACATTTACTTAATGGGAAAACTGGTTAATGTGTATTAAAGTTAAAAGGCAGCAAAAAAAAAAAAAAAAAAAAAAAGGCAACCATGTAGTTGGGTGTATTGGCACAAATCTGTAATCCTAGCACTTTAGGAGGCCACTGCAGGAGGATAACAGTTCCGGACCAGCCTGGGCAATTTAGCACCTTAGTGAGACTTTATCTCAAAATAAAAATAAATATAAAAAAGAGTTAGAGATGTATGTAGCTCAGTGAGAGGCCCTGGATTCTGTGGGGCCCCCCCCCCCGCCCCATGCTATAACATGACCTCATTTCTGTTAAAAAATTGCTTATAGGGCCGGGGATTTAGCTCAGTGGTTTTGTCGCCTGCTGTGCAAGCACAAGGGCCCAAGTTTGATCCCCAGTACCAAAAAAAAATTGCTTATAATTTTTTCAAAAGCCAGGTACAGTGGTGCATACCTATAATCTCAGCTGCCTGGGGATTGAGTCAGAAGGGTCACAAGTTCAAGGCCAACCTGGACAATTTAGGTAGACTTTGTCTAAAATGAAGAGGTGGGAATATAGCTACCCCACTAGTAGAGCATCCCTGGGTTTGATTGCCGTCGATGACTGTATTACTTTTCCCTCCTTGCTGGGACAAAATACTCAACACCCAAAGTTAAAAGGGAAGGGGTTTGTTTGGCTTACAGTTTGCAAAGCTTCAGTCCATAATCAGCCGATTCCAAGGCAGGGATGACAAACAGGCATGGCAGAGCAGAAACTATGACACCCAAAAGACAGCAAAGATAATAAGGGAGTTTAGCAGCATCTTTCTGCCCCTTTTATCTTATTCAGACTACCTACCAGGACTAGGGTGGTGCCAGACTAATCATGTGTAGTGCTTTAGTAATTACATGCCCTTAACCCCAGCATCACACATTCCAGATTCAACAACCTCTAAAAAACAAAGTCCCACTTCATCTGCATGAGTCTTTGGGGAACATCTAAACAGAAAGCGTAACAATGACTAACACTAAGTTATTATTTCTGGGGTCGGGGATTTAGCTCAGTGGTTCTGCCGCCTGCCTCGCAAGTGCAAGGTCCTGAGTTCAATCCCTGGTACAAAAAAAAAAGAATTATTATTTCTGAAGACAGAAGTTGAGAACTTCAATTTTGTGTAATACAGTGTTAAAGAGTTTTCTACAATTAAATGTTAACTTTTGTAAGGTGGTTGTTTATTGCCTAGCTAAATAGCTCAGTGTGGAGTGCTGAGTGGTACCATAAGTCTCAGTCAGGGTTCTCAAGGTGTAGATAATTCTATTTGGAAAGAGAATATAGATGCAGGAGAGACACTTCAACACAAGGGAGACAGTGAGCGTTATTCAAAATTATTGGATTATAAACTGGGTGTAGATTATAGTGCACACCTATAATCTCAGCACTTTGAGGCTAAGGCAGGAGGGTTACCCCTAGTTCAAGGCCAACCTGGGCTGTATAATGAGTATGGTCAACCTGAACTACATAGTCAGACCCTGTCTCAAAAAAAAAAAAAAAAATCATTGAGTCATATACTCTTTTAGTAGTATAAGCATTTTTTTGTTGTTTTATGCACATAATTTTAAAACATTAATTGGTACATTTTAGAAGTATATAATCGCATTCATCATAGGAATTTGTACATAATATATCTTGATTCCTTTTTCCCCACCCACTACCCTCCCTTCAACTCCTCTTCCCCTCCTTATTTACAGAAGCTTTGAGTCCATTTTTTTCCTTCTGTGCTCTTTTTTTTTTTTCTGTTCCCTTCTTCTTTTCACCCCCTTTGTTCCTCTTTCCCAGTATAGGCATTTAAAAGAAAATGAACACTATCTGTATAGAAACTCAAATAGAAAAAATACAGCTTCCTATATTTGATTATTCTGTACTTTATTTAGACTCTCCTTAAAGGACATTTTATTTCTAGGTATATGCATATTGGCATGTTTTGCAAGTTTGTCTGTAGGATGAACTTCTACAGTAGAGCTTCTAGAGAAGAGTGTGTATATTTAGAGCTGGGACTGTAGTTCAGCACTAGAGCACTTGCCTAGCATAATTGAGACCTTTCAGTTCCCAGTACTGTGCAAAAGAAAGAAAAGAAAAAAAAAAATGTGTATTTAAACCGTAGTAAGAAAAGAGATATAATGAAGGAAGAGGCATAGGAGAACTTCACTGAGACGGTGATATTTCATTTCTTAGCTAGATAGTAGATATATGGGTATGTTTTAAAAATTATTCTTTATGTATATACTTTGTATGAATAAAATGTTTGAATAAAAATAATTAACATTTTTGGATAGCTATTAAAATTTGTCCTGATTTTTTGTCATAAAATCACTCCAGAAAGCATATGAAAACAAGAGTGCCTATTTCTTCATATCTTGGTGGCTGTTGTTGTTTATCTTATTTTGATTTGTTTTTTATACAGTTAATAATTGATTAATGAATAGGCTTGTAGAAACTTTGATTCCCTGCCTTCACCCATGTTAAGTCCCTTCTGTACACCTCCATTCAGAATTTTCAGTTCCTGCTTCTACATTTCTAAATCAGGTACCTATACTTTTTCTTGGTTAATTATTTGTTCACCTCATATAGTGTAGAGAAATAGATTTATATCTCATATTATGTCCCTCCTTTCTATTCTATAGCTCTCTACTATGAACTTACTTTTTTGCCTGAATCAATATTCAGTGTCTGAAATGATTTTGTTCCTTACTGTGCCAGCTAATAAACTATGTTGTAATTACTTTGGTGACTTAGATAACCTTTTGCTTTTTCTGAGACGGTTTTTATTTCCCTAGTTTTCAGTCTGTACCTGTCACTGGCAAGTTGTGTCATTTCGCAGCAGACTCGTGTGCAGTAAGCTTTATTAATCCACTGTATTAGTATAATAAGTAGCATGTAGTACAGTACAGCTTCTGATCCATAGGGGTGGCAATGTCCCCCTCCTGTCTGGATTGGTTATTCTCTGCATGTGCTATGTTCCTGTCCCCTGAGTTGTCCCTTTCATCTCTGTGGACATCATTGCTCTCCTCTGTTATGGTGCCTGCTTCTTGGCTTTTTTTTTTTTAAGTTAATGACATTTTTGTTAATTAAAAAACTTCTCATTATCATCTGAGACACAAGGAAACCAGTACCCAAACTGGGTTATAGTAAGCACAGGTTCCGTGCTGATGAATTCTTTCTCTCATTCACCTAGTTAGTTATTTCTCCTCTGGGTCAGCAATGTCCTGGGCAAGGTTTGGAGAATCAGATAGATGACACAGGCTGGGTCCCTGTGGAGTTCACACTCCAGTGTGGGGAACAGACACATCAACATAACAGTTTATCACAGAATAGGGAGTGCTACCAGGGTGAAGCACAGAGAGCTGTGGGCACAGAGGGGGCACCTGATGCAACTGGGGAGGTCAAGGAAGGTCCTCTTTGTCATGCTGTTTCCTTGTTTGAATTGAGTATGCCCTCAAAACAGATTTCTGTGAAAAGGTGAGTGGTAAACCTTTTGGGGTCTTTGATACCTTCAGATGCCTTTATTGAACCCTCAGAAGTTTCTAGGTTGAAAAATATTCAGCTCAGCTCTGAATTGTTATGGCTGCACTGACTTCTAGCTTTTTAGTACATTTTTGCTTTTTGATGATCTCTTCTCCTTTTTCCTTCATTGGGCTGGGTATGCAATGAACCCTTTCTGTATACATAGGTCATTCATGTCCCTCAGGTCTTGGAAGTATTCTTATATAATTTCTTTGATTTCTTCCTCCATTTGTTTTCTTTTCTGGAACGTTGCTATGTGTTGGGATAGAAGAACACTGCAGATAGCAGTTATGATGAGCTGTGAATTGAAGAAACAATTAGTTCAACCCTCTGCACTTAAGGAATGAAAGAAAGGGAAGTGGATGATGGGCAGAGAGGGCTTTCTGGATCCAGAAACGACTTAAGGTTGGAAGTGCTGCAGAGACAGCCTGACCAGAGCAGCAGTGATGTGATGTCTCTTAGGGCGATGTGGCAGACAGAGATGAGGTTCCAGAGACCTGGGAGAACCAGGCAGAAGGACTTTCTATGACTTAGGAATTTAGAGTTACTGATTGCTTTTAAGTTATTGAATGTTTTAAGGGTGACTAAGCTCATAGCTGTAAGAAAAAATATTTGGTGAGATAGGAAACTATAAGTGTGAGGGGATCACTAGAAGCTTGTGTTAATAAATCAGGGCTGAGCTGGTAGGTACAGTGAAAAGGAAGATATGGAAATGAGGTTTCAGGGAAAAATCAGCAAGATATAGTTACTGTCTAGATACTGATGAGTTAAGCTAATGAGTAGTTTTTGGCTTTCTTAATCCTTGGTGTTTAGCTGAATTTTCTGCTGAGGTGGAGCCCATTCTTGTAAGCCAGAATAATAGGGCCGGAGATTTAGCTCAGTGGCACCACACCTGCCTCACAAGTGCAAGGTCCTGAGTTCAATTCCCAGTACCACAAAAAAAAAAAAACATGGGAAATGATAAGGGCTTGCTTATTTCCCCCCTTATTTAGCACCCAGCACCAATGGTAGCACTACATGTGGGGAGGGTTGTTTTTCTGTCCCTTGTGTAAGTGCTTATAATACACAGTTTGCCTGTATTTGGTCATGTGCCTTCCCTTTGGCAGTATAAATGCAAAGTAGCATTTTGTATGAATTACTATCGCCTGACAGCTTACTTCAGCAAGCTTATCTCACCTCTTCCTCATCCTGTGATAGGCAGGGAAAAGGAAAAGGTTATACATGTATTGTTTCTTCTCATTGGGTACCTCATTTTTATAATGCAAGTTGTCAAAATATAAATCCTTTGAAATAACTTATTTCTTAGGAAGGACTCAAGATGCTTTTTAGTGGTATTGTTGATCATTTCCCTCTTACAAATCTCTTTATTGTAAAAACCCAAGAGAATTTATCATTATTGATTTATTTCCTTATTCTGACTCCTAAACATTCTCCTAGTTAACTTGCAAGGTTAATGTCTGCTCCTTTCTTTTTATATGGATTTCTATATTTAATCTTGAAAAGATTTTCTTTCCAAAGATGAAGAGGCAGAAAATTGTAATAAGTTGTTGTTTTTGTTTTTTTAATTGTAAGTTAGGAAGCCTTTTGTAGCCTTGATTATCTGGATGCATCTGCCTACAACTTGCTATCTGTGTGATATTTCTGGGATTGAGAGTGCCCTCTTATGGTGACTTTGGTTCAAGACTCTGGAAGGTTCTGAGATTTTAGAGTTTGTGTAGCCCCAAGTCTCCACCTGACATTATATTTAAATTTCACATAGTATTTGCTGTGTCCAGCCTTAAAAGGATCTGAAAGATGCCAGTTTCCTAACAAGAGTAACCTGTTAAATTTCATTGGTGCTAGGTGGAACGGCCCCCTTCTCCATTCTCCATGGCCCCACAAGCTTCCCTTCCCCCAGTGCCACCACGGCTTGACCTTCTGCAACAGCGAGTGTCTGTTCCTCCAAGTGCTTCTAGTCTAGGAACTGTCCCCAAGGTACAGCATTATCCATTTCTTCAGTTTTCTGTCTCTTTGTTGTGCATTAAGGAGTTTTGATAGATTGGCTTCATCTTGCTTTCACAGGCTGGTTCTGCCTCCCTTCATAAGGACAAGCCATTGCCAATACCTCCTACACTTCGAGATCTTCCACCACCACCCCCTCCAGAGCGGCCATATGCTGTTGGAGCAGATACCCGACCTCAGAGACGCCCCCTGCCTTGTACACCAGGCGATTGTCCATCCAGGGATAAACTGCCCCCTGTACCCTCTAGCCGTCTTGGGGACTCATGGTTGCCCCGCCCAATCCCCAAAGTACCAGGAGCTACTCCAAGCCCCAGTGACCCCTGGACCGGAAGAGAATTAACCAACCGGCACTCACTTCCATTTTCATTGCCTTCACAAATGGAGCCAAGAGCAGATGTGGCCAGGCTTGGAAGCACATTCAGTCTGGATACTTCCATGGTGAGTCCCAATTTTGAAATTAGCCTGTTAACACATATTTGTGGATGGTATTTTATGGATCAAGTTTTGTGATAGGTTTTGTACAGAATTCAGAGATAATGTAACAGAATCTCCAAACTGCAAGAAGTCTGTAGGTTGGTCTGAGGATATATCTCAGTGGTAGAGCACTTGCCTAGGATGCACAAGGCCCTGGATTCCATCCCAAACACTGAGGGGAGGGGGAAGCACATTAACAGGACAAATAAGGCAATTGTATGTCAGTAAGTGTCTTGTGTAAATGCCATGAGTAATATAACTAGAAACTTTTTTACGTTGTAGAGAAAAGAGGAATTTCAGCTAGAGCAATTGAAAAGAAGACATCTAAATCTAAGAGTTCTTTGAAAGATAGATACAGAGATTGTGGAAAAGAAGAGCACAAAACATTTATTAAATACCTAAGTCATGGGAGTGTCAGAGTTCAGATGCAGTGTTTTGGGGTTTTTTTGTACCGGGGATCGAACTCGGGACCTTGTACTTGTGAGGCAGGCAACGGAATCACTGAGCTAAATCCCTGGCCCATCACATCCAGTCAGATGCAGTTTTAAGATAGGTCAGAGCCACACTGACAGAGTGCTTAAGGTGTATTATGGAATGATGAGTAGAGCAGAGATTCTGTACACCACAGCAGGAGAAAGGAGCAGTCATAGTGGATTACCCCCTTCCAAAAAGAATTTGAATTTATTTGGTAGAAAATGGTGAATGTTTGAAGGTTTAAGTTTGTGGATTGAAAAAATTTAATAGTAATATGCAGAATAGATTGGAAAGAATAGGTTGAAGAAGACAGGAAAAGACAGGATGGAAGAAGATTTCTCCTTTTGTCAGTTCACTTGTTCACACAACACAAATTCTTGCCTTCACAAAGCTTACATTCTTAGTGGGAGGACAATGGAAAGTAAACAAGTGAGTAAAATATATAGTATGTTCATGATGAGTGCTGTGGAGAAGAGCCGTTAAAGAAAGGTCTACAGAGAGCTGGAGTTGGGGTGGGCAGTACAGGAAGTGATGTGGTACGACTAAGCAAAGACCTGAAGCAGTAGGGGAAGTGAACCGTGCTTATCTTGGAAGACCATTCTGAAGTGGAGGGAAAGGAATTGAGGTCGGAAGAGTCTGTTTGAGAAATAACAAAGGGATGTAGTGTAGTTAGTGCCATGCAATCAAGAGGGAGAGGCCTTGTCTCTGAGCAAAAGTGGGCTGCCCAGTTAGGAGGAGCCTTTAGAGAGTACAAAACAGATTAAGACGTAAAAGCAGTCAAGAGATGGAAAAGACAATGAGAAGTTACACATACATACATACATTTAGTTACACATACACATATATTTAAATCTGTCTAACTAGGGACATTTAAATTTGAGACGAACCTTTGACAGAGTTGACAAGTAAGTAGTTGGAAATCTGAGGAAGAAGTGGAATGGGAAGGATGAACTTGAAGAATGTTAGGGCACTCAGGTATTTCCATTTAAGTGGCACCTGTGTGATAGGCAGTCTAATTAGTGAGAATGGCTAAGTGTGACTTTTTAACACAGAACGACCATTTTGAGTTTGAGTACAGATTATTTAAACTAGAAATGGTGTTTGTATAGGCAACTAAATTAGTCAAAATTTTCCAGTATTCAGACAAACAGAAAAGCCCATTTCCCTGGCCCTTTCTAGATCTCTGTCTTTCTAACCCTAAGTTTGAAGTTTTTTTTTTTTTTTTGGTACTGAGGATCAAACTCTTGTCCTTGCACTTGTGCAGCAGGCGGCGAAACCACTGAGCTAAATCCCCAGACCCTAAGTTTGAAAATTTTTCAGGGTTGGAAAGCAGCAGTGCTTTTCTCAGAGATGGTAGTTCTTAGTGGTAGCATTATCGTAAGGTTTGCGTCAGCATTAGTATTCTTGTGATTTTGAATAGATTAAGAGGAGGTACCTAGCTGTGGTAAGGAGGCTCTTTTCAACACCTTTCTTTACTTTCCAGAATACAAGTAACAGTCCATTAGCAGGTCCAGAGTGTGAGCACCCCAAAATCAAACCTTCCTCATCTGCCAATGCTATTTATTCTCTGGCTGCCAGGTAAGTTTACTAATGTTGTATTTCATTCGGTGAAGTTGCTACTTTATTTTATTTTATGTTATTTATGTATTACTGGGAATCAAACTCAGGACCTTGCACTTGTGAGGCAGGCAGTGGCACCACTGAGCTAAATTCCTGGTGAAGTTGGTACTTTAAAATAATTGATTTGGGGCGGGGATTTAGCTCAGTGGTTTCACTGCCTGCTGCGCAAGCGCAAGGACCCGAGTTTGATCCCCGGTGCCAAAAAAAATAGTAAAAAAAATAAAATAATTGATTTATACATGTTAGGAAACTCAGAAAAATATAAAGGAGAAAATAAAAATTGATCTGTATTTGTACCATGTAGAAGTCATTTTATGTTTTGAAATCCTTACTTGTTCTTGTTTCTCTATACATGTATATAAATCAGTCTTGCTGGGACTTGTCAGGTTTATTAATCTTTTCAAAAAAGCAATTTTGGTTTTATGGTTTTTATTCTTACTGGGTATTTGCTTTCTGTTTAATTGTCTGCTTTTTATTCTTCCAACTTTTTTTAGACTTTCTGGTGTCATGAGATGGATGCACTTTTAGTCTTCAGCTGCCATAACAGAATACCACACACTGGGTGGTTTAAACAGCAGGAATTTATTTCTTTGCAGTGCTAGTGGCTGGAAGTCTGGGAGTAGGGTGTAGCAGGGCCAGTTTCAATGAGGGCCCTCTTCCTGGTGTGTGGGTAGCCACCTCCGGTGCATACGTGCAGGCAGAGGGAGCGAGTGCTCCAGGCTATCTTCTTTTTTTTTGGTACCGGGGGTTGAACTCGGGTCCTTGTGCTTGTGCAGCAGGCAGCGAAACCACTGAGCTAAATCCCCGGCCCAGGGGTGTCTTCTTATAAGGGTACAAATCCTTTCCTGTCAGGATTTCACCCTGTGACCTCATCCAGCCTTAATTTAATATCTCCTATGAGTGACTCTATCTATATATATGGCCAAACCAGGGATTAGAACTTCAATATAGGATTTCAAGGGTGCACAAACATCAGTCCATAACATACAAAAAAAAAAAATGCTTTTTTTCATTTATCATTTCTTCTTTGACGAGTTATTTATTTATTTATTTATTTTGGTACCGGGGATCAAACTTGGGTCCTTGCGCTTGCACAGCAGGCAGCAAAACCACTGAGCTAAATCCCCGGCCTGATGAGTTATTTATGAAGTGCCTGATTCAAACATTTGAGGATTTTCTGGTTATCCTGTGACTGCTTTCTGGCTTCATTCCAGCATTTTTCTTTGTTTTTTGTTGTTTTCCTATACTTTGGACTGAGCTACATTCCCCAGTGCAGCACCTCCTCTCCTTGAAACAGGGTATCTATCACTAAGTCACTGAGTTGCCCAGGCTGGACTTGAGCTTGCAATCTTCCTGCGTCAGTTGCTCAGAGTGCACCAACACGCCCAGCAATGTCATATTTTTTATTCACAAATTTATGCTAAAACCTAGTAATATGTACCTTCATCTCGTAAAAATGTGTGTTCTGCAGTTGTTGGATATAGTGTTCTGTATATATCAGTGATGTCAAGTTTATTGTGTTCAAATCTTCTGTCTTGGAGTTTTAAAAACCTACCTATTCTGAACAACAACAACAAAAAACATACCTGTTCTGTCAGATAACTGAGAGGACTGTGTTTGAGTTCTCCTATGAGTTTCCCTTTGTCCTTTTTAGTTCTATCCATTTGTCTTCTATGTATTTTTATCCTATGTATTGCTTCTTGGTCTTTTGTGTTTTTGTTTTTTTTTTTTGTCTTTGGTACCGGGGATCGAACTCTGGACCTTGCGCTTGCAAGGCAGGTGCCAGAACCACTGAGCTAAATCCCCAGCCCTTGGTCTTTTGACTTAAGATCAAGTGTAACTTGTGTAGTTAGGATAATAGAAATATAAAATTATTAATACTAAATTGTAAGCTTTTATATTATCATGAAATGTATGCTGCAGTTCTACTTCTCACTTGCCTTAAGTCTACAGTGTCTTTATTAAAATCGCTACTTTCAACTCTCTCTGTCCTTGTATCAAAGCTTGCTGGGGATTTAGCTCAGTGGTTCTGGTGCCTGCCTTGTAAGCACAAGGTCCCGAGTTTGATCCCCGGTACCAAAAACAAAACAAAACAAAACAATAAATAAAAAACAGACAAGAGAAACCTTATATCAAAGGTTCATCTCTCATAAGCAGTGTATACGTGGTGGGAATTTTTCTCCCATAAATCTAATCTGTTATTCTTTGTCTTGGAGAAATGGAATCATTTGGTCGTACTCTTTTCCTCATTTTTCCAATCTTTTCTGGGTTTTTTTTTTTTTTTTCCTGTTTCATATTTTTTGGATTGAAGTATTACTATTATACCATGTCACCCTTCCTGTTATTACTTTAGTAGTTATCCTGGAAATTCCAATGTGTACCCTTGGTTAGAGTGTACTTTATCTTGATTGATTGACTGATTGATTGATTGATTGGATATTTGAGACAGGGTCTCCTAAGTAGTTCAGGCTGAGCTTTAACTCACTATGTAGCCCAGGCTGGCCTCGAACTCACGGTGATCCTCCTGCCTCAGCCTGCTAAGTGCTAGGATTATAGGCCTGCGCCACCATGCTGTGTATTCCAAGCTGGCCTTGAACTTGCTTTGTAGCTAACTTTCTGTCCTGCCTCAGCCTCCCAATTACTGAGATTGCAGGCATGCACAACCATGCCTGGCTCAAGAACTTCATTTAGTGGGTGAATACATTTGTAAAGGGTTAATGCATCTTCTGTCATGGATTCAAGTTTTGTTTGACTAAATTTCTTTATTTCACATTTTTAAAAAGAATTTTTACTGAGAACCATATATTCTGGAGTTAGTTTCTTTTAGCCTTTTAAAAATACCATTCCATGGGCCGGGGATTTAGCTCAGTGGTTCCGCTGCCTGCCTCGAAAGTGCAAGGACCCACGTTTGATCCTTGGTACCAAAAAAACCCCCAAAATACCATTCCATGATGGATGTGGTGGTGCACACCTGTAATCCCAGCACTTGGGAGCCTGAGGCAGGAGAATTGCCATGAATTTGAGGCCAGGCTGAATTACCTAGTGAGACTCATCTCAAAAGAAAAAGAAAACAGCTTGTCCAATACATTGTTATTTGATATTTTAGGTTATTGTTTATTTTTTCAGTATAGATAACACTGTAATGAATATTCTTGATTGTTTCCCTAGGGAAAATTCTTAGAATGGAATTTGAATTAACACTCCAAAGAAGTTGGGCCAGCTTCTTATTTCTACAGCTATATAAGAAAGTACCCATTTATTTCCTTCCACCTTTGCTGACACTTGATGTTTTCTCTTAATTTGTTTCCCCCCTGGGAAAATTACAAACATAAAGTTGAACACCTGTGTACTTATCAGCTGGATGCAACTATTAGCATTTTGTTTTTGTTTTTGTTTTGTTTTTTGGTACTGGGGATTGAACTCGGGGCCTTGCACTTGTGAGGCAGGCAGCAGAACCATTGAGCTAAATCCCCGGCCCCAACATTTTGTTATAGTGTCTTATCATACACTATCTTTACCTCATCAGTGTGTATTGCTGATTGACGTATTTCAAAGCAAATCATCTAGAAGGTAGTACATGTCTATCTCATAGTTTCAGCATGCATTGCATAAATCTTAATGGGTATAGGCTGAATTGTAACAAAGCATACATGTAGGTAGTTTTTCAGTGGAGACAGTACTGTCTAAGCTGTGCAGAGCAGTGTACCCTATAGTCCTACATACTTAGGAGGCCAAGGTGGGAGGGTTGCTTGAACCTAGGATTCAAGGCCAGTTTGGGTAACATAGCAAGAGCTCCATCTCACAAAAACAAAGTCAAGTCCTATAAGAAATAAGCTCAAAAAAGAAAGAAAGAAAGAAACTCAAGTACAATACAGAGGACTGCTGTGTTCTGTTGAGTTTCTGTAACACAGTTGTTTTAGAATAAGCACGTGTTGCTTTTTTTTTTGTGGTACCAGGGATTGAACTCAGGATCTTGAGCTTGCAAGGCAGGCATGGTGCCACTGAGCTAAATTCCTGGCCCAAGCACGTATTGCTTGTATGCTCAAGAAAACTAAACATTAAGTAAATACAGAGAGACAAATGTAAGAGATAATCCTCATAGAGTATATCAAATATGCAGAAAAAGTAAAGAGGAAGGGAGAAAAAACATTCAGAAATTCACAGTCCAAGAAACAATTTGCATATTTCTTTTGCAGTTCATTGGTGTTTAGTCTCCTTTCATGGGGCAGGTGAGAGAAGTATTGTTTCAGAAGCTTCTGAAGTACAGGGCTGGGGACATCCCTAGCACTTTGTAGAGCAGTTGTCTACCATGAGCCCTAGGTTTGGTCCCCAGCCTTGTGAAACAAAAAGTCAACCTGCAATAGGAGTCAGAACACTGGATTCTAGTTCTAGAATTGATACATATTCCTGAATTATTTTTTCTCTATTTTAGATTTTTCTTGTAGAAAATATTGAGGGGAAAATGTATTTGTACTTTAAGGTAATATATGAGAAAAGTTTTGACAACTATGTGTTTGAAACCATAGGTAGATTTTATTATGGGATTTGGTATACATTCCTAGTGTACTGTCCGAAAGCTACCTGCTGTTTCTTCTTTCAAACCTAGTGATAGAAAAACTAGGATGCTAACTCTAAAATTGGAACCTGTAATGAAACTGACTTTTAGGTTGGGACCAGCTGGCATCAGATATCTACCCCAGTATAATACATTTCAAGCATAATCATCGTACCATTAGTTGGTGCGCCCTTTCTTATTTATCTTCCCTGGTTAGTAGAAATACATAATAATTCCTAGGAGGTATGTATTTTGCTTTGTCAAATTTGAGTTATGTCTGTTTTGAATTTGCCTATTTCATACTTGAAAGCTTTCCAGCTTAATTTTTTCTATTTTTTAATTTCTTATCTTGCAGACCCCTTCCAGTGCCAAAACTGCCACCTGGAGAACGGGGTGAGAGTGAGGAGGACACAGAGTATATGACTCCCTCATCTAGGCCTGTAGGGCTTCAAAAGCCAGAGCTAAAACGGCCTTCAGAGACAGCCCAGAGTTCTCGGTAGGTTCACAAACAACCCTGCTTGGGGCCAGATACCTTTCAGTGGGTGATTCAGTTGATACCCGTCACCTGCTTGGCTTGCTACTTGCACACAAAATTATCCAGCCAGAATTAAAGCAGAAAGATAAGTCTAGTCCCTATGTTGAAGTCTCTTGTAGTTGTAAGAAATTCAGCTTATCTTTTCTCAGCATCACAGTGACCATCTGAATACACACATCTGGGCCAGGGATTTAGTGGTTCTGATGCCTGCCTCAAAAGCACAAGGTCCCAAGTTCGATCCCTGGTACCCCCCCGCCCCCCCCAAAAAAAGAATACACACATCTGTAACTTTCCACAAGAGGCAATCTTACAACATTTTATTAGTGGTCTTTTATTAGTGGTAGTGGCCCAAGAAGAATGTGTTCCCGAGAGAATTAGGGTCTAGCATAGTTGTGAGCAGATAAGCCTTAGTAAGTTTGCAGGTGACAGAGTTCTGTTTCTGAAGATCATTATGCCGCTTTCCTTCCGGTTCAGAGTGGGTGATTGTGACCAGCAGATTGATAGTTGCACATATGAAGCAATGTATAATATTCAGTCCCAGGCGCCATCTGTCACCGAGAACAGCACCTTTGGTGAGTAGCCCTCTCTGCTGTTTAAAAAATTGTTAATGTGACATAGGAATAAGCCTGTAACATTTGTCTAGTGAGGTCGCTTTACTAAAGGAGAAAATCGTTGTCAGTAATCTTCTCTGGTAAAATATCTTTGATTCATGGGCGGGATGGCCTCTCCCCCTTTTATTTCCTTTTCATACAGCTAGTTCCTTTTATGCTTTTTCATCCTCCCAGGCCTGGAGACATTTGTGTTACATGGCTCCAACGTGCAGTTCTGGAAGCTCTTTCATTCCCATTGCATTGATGAAATTCTTTCGTGTGTGGGTGGTGCTTACTCAGTTCAGTTCCCATGACGACAGGCTTCCCGAGTTGAAAGTTCAAGAAGCCCGCATACACAGGGCCCCTTGGCTGATCTCCTGAGGTGACACATCGATAGATAGACGCTATCAAATGGCACTTAAATCTTTGCCACTGAGAGGTGGCTTTTAATCTTGGCAAGAGTAACCTTTGACACATTCTGCAAGAGAGCTGCAGGTTTAGCACAGTTGTTATTTTGTTTCTTTTTATTTCCATCCACAGGGCCTCACATGGTGTTTGGCCCCCAGTAGATATTGAGTAACTGTAGCCTTAGAGTAAATGCTTGCATGCATGCACAAATGAATGGATGCCCCTGGACTGCTGAGGGATGTTAAAAGATGAGGTATGTCAGGAAAAAGATAACTTACGCTCTTTTCTCCAGGTGAAGGGAATTTGGCTGTAGCCCACCCCAACACTGGCCCTGAGGAATTGGAAAATGATGATGATGGCTATGATGTCCCTAAGCCACCGGTACCAGCTGTCCTAGCCCGCCGAACTCTCTCAGACATCTCCAATGCTAGCTCATCCTTTGGCTGGTTGTCTCTGGATGGCGATCCCTCAACAAGTGAGTCTGGAGGCTCCCTTGCGTTTGACCTGAATGCTGTCTGCTCCTGATTTATACTGAAAGAGGTGACGTCCTCTGGTGGCACAAGTTAGTAGGTAGGAGTAGTAGGCTAATTGTGTCTAAATGGGAGGAAAGCTGCTCCTGGGTCCCAGATTATGAAATCAAACTGTGTTCAGACTCTTTAGACTTAGAGATGAGGTTGTCCTTGAACTTTGGCTTCTCCCATGCTGGGTAGATAGGGTTTCGACATCTTTTGACAGTGGTAATTAAGCAGATGGCCCAGACTTTGGATTCCTCTCTTCTGAATCCTGTCCTGCTGGAGAGAAGGCAGGCTGTCCTGGAATGCACAAGGAATGGGCCTGGAGCCAGCCTACAATGGGCCTGGACTGCTGGGGGCTGCCCTTCTTGCACCTGTGGCTGCCTGGTAGGACAACAAGCAAAGTTGCTGTCACTTTGGAAATTAAAGACAGCTTTCAGGACAGCTGATGAGAACTCCAACATCCAGTTGCCCAGACAGGCAGTGATCTCCACCCATCCTGGTTTGGTGCTTCTGCATTACAACTCAGGCTTTTTTTCTGCTCCTTATTTTTTCTGCTCCTGTAGAAGGAAGAGTTTAATCTCTTCTGATCACCCCAGAATTAAAAAATAATAAACCAGATGATTGTATGTATGAAAATATGTCACTCGGGGTAAAGGATGATACAGATGTTACATGTTTATCATAGCAACAGTTACTGTGAATTGAACAGGTGTGTGGTATATTTAGAAGATGGCTCCTACTATGATAAGGAGGAAGCTAGATCCAAAAGCCCTTGAACCTCTAAAACCCAGCCTTGTGACAGAAAAGCACCGGCCCCCAATTGACAGGAGGTCAATTATGTATTGATATCAGCAATTGTTACTACTTTTATTACTGCCACTAAATGAAGATTTCCCCCAATATTTTCTTTGCTATTTCTTCTAGACTTTACTGAGGGTTCTCAAGTTCCTGAGCGGCCTCCAAAACCATTCCCTCGGAGAATCAATTCTGAACGGAAAGCAGGTAGCTGTCAGCAAAGTGGTGGTACTGCTGTGGCCTCCCCTGCTGTCACCCCATCACCACAGCTCTCCAGTGAGATTGAGAACCTCATGAGCCAGGGCTACTCCTATCAGGACATTCAGAAAGCTTTGGTCATTGCCCACAACAACATTGAAATGGCCAAAAACATCCTCCGGGAATTTGTTTCTATTTCATCCCCTGCTCATGTTGCCACCTAGCACATCCGTCTCTGCCATGGCTACGAGGATCCAAGAGCTGGGCTCTTGAGGAGCACCTAGAAGGGCAGAAGCTCTTTTGGGGGACTTCACTATGAGGCCCTGCCCTCTCTGTGGGTATCATACTGTGGTCCCAAGATTTCAAAGCAGTGGAATGAAAATGGAGCAGCTAATGTGTTTTATTATTGTATTGTTCTTGAAGGTGTCCTTCAGTCCCCACTTGGAGAGAGTGTAGATTTTTGGAAACAGTCCAGAAAGCAGTAGAATAAGTATTGTGCTATAAACCCTGATTGAGGACTTAAGACTTTCCTTGGTTAAGGATGTGTTCATGTCTGTCTGTCTGTCTGTCTGTGGTTGTATGTGTGTTAATCCCAAGTGGGGAATTAGCTCAAGAGGTTCAGAAAGGGATCTTTTAAAGACTTCCCTCTACTGTGGTATTCCACCCAACCCTAGTGTGTATTACAATTTCAGCACTCCTCTTTGGCTTAGATTGTCATGTGCATAGCTCAAATCTTATATTTTTTAGAATACCGTCCTGTCCTTTGTCCTATTGGCCCACCCTCAGTGTTCTGTCATTGGCAGTGGGCTTGCTGTGACCAGCCTTACTGAGGCCACACCCTAATAAGATGTTCCATATTATGTGTGATGGTGTTGGTTTGTTTGGTAGAGATAGGTAAGAGAGAAAGTACTGTTGCTGTGTCATTGTAGTCATGTTTGATACTAGCAGCTAACACTGGTCACTCCAAAGTGTTGTTTCTATAGGAACATTGAATTTGTTAAAATAAGATTTGAATTATCCTAATTATATAATGACTGATTTGAGATAGAGGCCTTCAAATACATTCCATGTCCTCCCCAGAAATTATTCTGTGGGAGTCCGTTGCCTTGATGCCAGGCATGTGGTCTGGTATAGGTCATGAGTGTTTCTTCTTAACGGGAAGAGATGAACATGTTTCCAGGATGACTTTCTGGCCTGAACACCATGAAGCTTTTAGGAAATTTCATTTATATGTTTTTAGATGCACAAAATAGACCATAAGGATTTATCTGTTCAGTTTTTCTTTCCAGTTAATCAGTTTTAGCTTATATGGGTATCTCTTTTTGAACATGAGCCAGATTAGATTTTCAGAAATGACTTTTTATTTGGCCTTTAAAGTATGGGCATAACACTGGGGGTAGCACAGCATTTTGCTGATTATTAGCACCTTTTCTATATTGGTGCTGCCCAGTGACTTGGTTTTCTCTTGTGCCTCAGGCTTGGGGAATGGAATGTAGTTTCTTCCCTTTCTTGCCTTTTTCTCTTCCCTTTAGGTTCCATGTATACTGTGTTTTTTTTTCATTGAAATAAATTACTCTAGTCAAAGACAGTATGGGAAAAGGCTGGTGGTTTGTGAAATTCCAAGTTTATGAAGAAGAATCAGAGTCCAGTTGGGAGACCCACTTGTCAGATCTGTAGCTGCTGCCCCATGGCCCCTGGAATTGAGTTTGTTCTCTGTCTGGAGTCTTTTACTGACTTTCCCAGCAGTGTGCACTCCTTCTCCTTGTCAGAAACAAAGCTGCTGTCTGAGAAATTACCTTCCTCAGGGTCTGATCCAGACAGAAATGACCCTCCTAAAGCAGCTTTCTTTCCAGTTGTGTCATCCTTGGAACTAAAACCCTTTCTAAGTCTTCTCATGGTATCCATCTACTCCATGCTCTTTGTGTTTTATCCTCTTGCCTCAAGCTATTTATATTCCCAAAGCAGACAGTACTGGGCCTTGTGATGACTTGCTATGGTTACCTAGTGTCATCTCCTGTCTCCTCTGCAGTGGAGAGGAAATAGCACAGCCCCCAGCGGGTGCAGGAGGTCCTGCACTGGGAAGGAGGGAGGTGGGCAAAGTGGCAGCAAATAAGAACAGTAGCCTAACATCCACTCCTAAAAGCTGGTAGCATTCAGTTTGCATTTTGTTTAAATATTGAAGGCCTAGCCAGAGTACTAGGAAAAGAAAAATGCCAGCAGTTTCCAGGGCTATTCAGATTATAATATTTTTCTCTATAGATATTAGCTGTAGTTTGAAGATCTGTCAAGAAAACAGCTCTTGGGCTTGAGATTTAGCCTGCCTGCCTTGTAAGCACAAGGACCCAAGTTGGATCCCCGGTAGCCCCCCCCAAAAAAGAAAAGAAAACAGCTCTGGCCACATCTCTTTTGCCTGTTCAGTGCATCCTCATCTTACATGAGATTATTGTCCATACTGGCCAGGCTGAGGGCTTTTTCCTTCCTCTCCTGAGCAGCTGTGTAGCTCTTCAGTCAGATCTGAAACTGACAGTCCAGGCCCCTGTGTTGAGCTTGTGCACACTAATGGGCTTGGATAGCGCTTTGTCAAGTGAATATCTGCAGATGTTCAGGGTTTTGGACCATTGAATTATGGCCATTTCTCTGACTGGTGCTCAGAGAACATACTAGGTCTGGGCTGGAAATTGCCAGGTAAGCCTTAGAAAGGTTGCCACACAACTCTTTTTTAGAGGATAGTCTCGAAATGAGGATTTCTTTTATTTTCATTTGACTGAGGCATCTATTCTTCATCTTCTGTTTGTATCCTGATTTTTTGGAGGGTGTAGGGGGTGGTACTGGGGATTGAGCACAGGGCCTTTGCATTGCTACATCCCTAGCTCTTTTTTAAATTTTGAGATAGGGTCTTACTAAGTGTATACTGGTTTGAACTTAGAATCAAGGAGGCCTCAGCCTCCTAGAATGCTCGGATGATGGGATTATAGGTGTGTGATGCTATGCTGGGCATATATTCCAATTTTTAATTCTTCAGCTCTGATCTGAATTTAAAATTGCCATTCATGAAGAGGCTTTATTTTCAGTTTTGTCATTTTTGGCAAGCCCAGTCCCCCACCCCCCACCCCCATTACAAATGGTTGATATGATCAAGAAAACCACTTTAATAGAAGATTCATTAGGCTGTTTTATTAACACAATCTTCTGTTTTCCCTGTATCTTTTGTGTGTTGCTTTGCACAACCTGCCTCATTGTTAGGTTGCTGTCCTGCAGCTGGCAGGACTGTACTTCGGAAGCTTCCTCTTCTATACTCCTGCTAAAGTCAAAGTCCTCAAAGTAGAAAAACCTGTGGGCTCTATAATATATACTTGCCCTTAGTTAAATGGTAGATTAGGCAGCTCATCATCTCAGCATTTATCTGTTAATAGTATTTAAATACAGTAGTGATCCCTAGCTGGGGTTAGCCCTTCTCTCTCACCAGCCCTGTCTCTTTCCCCAGCCCCACCCTACATAGTCTGCCATTCTTCCATTCTCTTCCTTTCTTACCAGCCTCATTACCAGGGCTCAAGATGTGGGACAGTACTGTTAATATCATTCAGCAGTTTTTTTGGATTTAAAAATTGAGGGTGGGGAATGATTGCTATTCTTCTTACTTAAAAATATTTATTTCCTGTGTAGGAAAGTAGAATGTGTTTTATGGTGGAAGCAGCAGACTTACAAATCAATTCTTTTTTTTTTTTTTGGTACTGGGGATCAAACTCAGGTCCTTGCACTTGCAAGGCAGGCAGTGTAACCACTGAGCTAAATCCCCAACCCTACAAGTCAGTTCTTACAACTCAACTTACTTGCAAACTAAGGACCAGCTACATATTTCCTTTAAGGTAGGTGCAATGAACAAAATCTAGTCTTTTCTGTTAAGTGACCAGCAGTGTATTAGTGCAGAATATTCTCCTACCTCACATCATGAAAGTCAAAAGGTTATTGACCTTCCCAAACTTCCTTCTTGCTTGTTGGTCTTTTAGACTATGAATGACCACTGTCTACTGAGTAATAATAGTATTCTGACTATTGGCCTAGCAATAGCAGTTTGATTGTTCTTCATTCAGCAGATGTTTGAGTGAGTACTGTGTGCCAGAATGTTGTCCTTCCCTGCTGCCACAGGGGATTGTATTTGGACTGTACAGTACTTTAATTTGACCATAAAAATAGTTCTTCCCAATAAGATTGTACAGTTTTTATTTATAGCATTTTTATATGACTTGCCTGTCCTTACAGAGCTATCTTGCTGAAAATTGGTCTAAGACTCTCTCATTAACCCCTGTTGTCTTCTACAGCTTTGATAATGTCTGAGAGATTCCTTGGCCTAAGTCTCGTGGACACCCACCTTTTTATGTATTTTGGTGGGATCTGATTAGTGGGTTGAGAGATATTTGTGCTCAGAGTTGCACAATTGGGCATTAAATGTTTAAGCAAAGCATCTGTCTGTAGTCCGCTTTTCAATCTAGTATCTGCCCACAGTTTCCTTTTTGGTACAGTGCCTTCCTTGATCTTTTTACTGAGCTGCTTGTATTCCTAACCCCATTAGGAAGTTTTTTTTTGTTTTGTTTTGTTTTGTTTTTAACCCTCTGAGACTTTTTGCCATTCTATACTATTTAGAATTTGTTTTCCTGCCCTTCAACCTTTGAAGCCAACTCTGCCTTAGATGGGCTGGAGGGGCTGGGAAGGGTTGGGCACTTGTCTTTTATGTCCTAATCTGTAGTCAGTTGTTTGGTTTTTGAGGGCTAGTCAGTATTATAAACTGGACTCCAGCAGTGGTGTCAGCCTTTCCTCCCCAAGTGGGGAGCTCAGAGTTTCCTGTCAACATGTCATCATTCTCCTAGACCTTAAAGCTGCGAAATTTGATTTGAGGTATTTTTAACTCTGCATAAAGCATTAATTACTGGTACTACTTTGATTTCAGTCTAGGCAACCCCCTACACACACACACACACACACACACACACACACACCGACACAGTACTGGTTGTTGAACCCAGAGCCTTTGCACTGAACTACATCTCCAGTCCTTTGAATTTGAGACAGGGTCTTGCTAAGTTCACCAGGCTGGGCTTAAACTTGGAGTCCTCCTGCATCCGGCCCTCAGAGTGCTGGGATTACAGGCCTGCACCACTGTGCCCAGCTTTTAGCTCTTTCCTTGGGAATGCACAAAGTCATTTAATGCATGGAGGAGGGCTAATGGTGGAGCCAGATCAGGCTTGAGGTTGTTGTTTCGGGTTTTTTGACTGCAGAAAATTATTAGGGGTAGAACTACAGTACACAGAAGGGGCAGGAAGCAGGATTGGGCAGAGGACTGTAGACTATAATGCAAATCTAATACCATTTCCTTTTCTTTGGTTGAGACAGGGTCTTGCTATGTAGTCCAGGCTGGCCTTGAATTCATGAAGATCTTCCTGCTTCAGCCTCCCAGGTGCTGGGATTACAGGTGTGCATCACCATGCCCAGCTCTAGCACCATTTCTATGTTCACAATAACCACTGCCTCCTGACCATCACCAAGGGTCCTCTTCATGTTACAGTTACTGTTCTTTTTCTTTTCCTTTTCTCTGTCCTCAGTAGGAAATAAGCTGTGGTTCTTGGGCACTGCACCAGGCCTGGATCAGTCCTTAGAGGGCGCTCTCTGCCTGGTTCTCTTGGCACTGGATCTCTCATACCCCCTGGTGGACTCTTGGTTCTTAGAACTTTGAGTATCTTTTGCATAATACACAGTCTGGTATCTGTAGATGACCTTAACTTGCAGCTGCCTTTTCTGCATTTCTTGAATCATTTGCTTGTAGCTTCTTCAGTAGCCAGATTTATTTTTTCCTCAATCAAGATTTTATTTTTAACTCCCCTAATTAGGCATCCTTTAGAATACAAGAAATATTCAAGCTAAACAAAGGAGGGAGTCATTATAAGGGCACAGGGTCTTTCTTGGAACCCAGGATAGGAAGGAAGTACAGTTGATTTTTGCATGGTGCTGGGACTGTAAAACTTTGCATTTAATCTTTCCTCCTGCTTAATTTTCTGTTTGCATACATGACACCCACATAGGCACCCCAGCCCTCAAGTTCACACAACCTTCTGGCTCTGGGGATCATCACACACAGATTCCCATTTCCTCTTAGTTCATGTTTTTAGGAATGTGTACGCTCAGCTCACACATTGATCAGAGTCCCTCCCAAGGCCACTTAGCCTCTCAGGGAGGGAAGGGAAGTGTGGCAGACCAGGCGGCAGCAGCACAGTCCTTTAGCTGGGACTTGGGAGCCTCTAAGAGAAGAGGCTTATTGACTCCATAGACCCTCTAAGAGGACCTCAGCCTTAGGGAGTAAAGCTGCTGCTGTCCTGTATTTTTAGAATGGAAGGGCAGGCATGTCAGTGTGCCTGGGTCATCAAGGAAATCCTTAAGTCATTGTCATTGTCTGATTCCTTTTTTTTTTCCCCATGTGAATCTTGTCATCTAAGATTTCTCTCCTCCTTGAGGACCTTCAGGTCTGTTCCCAGCTAACATTTCTTAGTCTCCATTTAGCTTCAGGTTTTTAGCCTTCTTTCCTATCATTTAGAGAAGATCACAGATTCCACTATAGCCACTACCCTTGGGCTTCTGCACTCTCTCAGAAGCCTGTCTCCTGCAGCCCTCATCTACTCTTTTTACTAGTTCTTCTGGGCGAGAGCTCTGCAGTAGTGTGCTTAGTGTTATAAGAATGGGTAAGGGTTGGGGCAGTTGCCAGGATATGAACTGGGGGTCCAGTATAGAACAGAGCTTTTACTGCACATCTTTCCACTCCAGTCTCCTAATTAGCTGCGACTACAGGCCCATACCACCATGGCCGGCATTACTGCACATCTTTAGACAGGCTGCCTGTATCTTCCCTGTTCCCTTTAGTTTTGATCCTCTATCAGAGGTGGGTTTTTTCCTTCCTTCCCAGCTATGCTATTGCTTGCTTGGGTCTTTGGATCTTATTTATCCCATCCTAGGGCCTATCCTGATTTGTAAGGCATTTCATACTGCCTTTAACTTAACTTTTTTAAACTGCTAGTCATTTGATAAACACAGAAGTAACCTAAGAATCCAAAGATACACATCGAGGCACATAGGAAGGGCAAGGCATCAGACTTTCCATTTGATGGTCTAGTGTAGGCTCCTGAGTGAAGGAGCAGAGGGCCAGTAATGCCATTTGCCTTCACAGTGTCCCAGGAAATCTGGGCTGACTTTAGGGGGAATTGCCAGTATTCTTGGTTCCAGAAAGTAGTGCAAGAGTAAGAGATGGGGAAATACGGGCAAAGCTTTCCACATATGTACCAGGTCAGATAGAAAATGCTATGTGGTAGGGCCAGCTGTTGACTAACAAGAGTAGCAGCTGTTTGGAGATCTTGCTGCCCTTTCCCAAGTATAGTGCTTGAAAAAAATGTGGCTGACCACTCCCTGTGTTTGTACAGAGCTAAGGCCAAAAGCCAACCTCACATCTACTGACCTGGCAGCTGAAAAAAATCAGCAAAAGTTCTGATCACTTGATCCCATATTCCTGATTCAGTCCCAAAAAATGAATGTGGGGGTGGCCCGCCACATCACCTGGCCCATGCTTTCCTTCCAGCCAGGAATAAAGATGTGAGGCCACAGAGCTGCATGCAGCTCCTTGGGCCTTGCGCTGCTTCCCTGTGCAGGTCCTGAGGTGTGGGGTGTGCTGGGGTCCTCTGTGTCACTTTCTTCCTCTCTACCTACCTCTGACCCCATGGTAGGTGAGGGTACCTGTGCCTGTGGCTGTCCTGACTGAAGAGGCAGAGAATACTGAGGAGCCCATAGAGCACATGTCTTCTGTGGCCTCTTGCCTCCTCTGTGATGAGTGAGCCTGCATAGTGCCCGGGAGAGTGGGTGCCTCCTGACCTCCCCTGCTTGGCACTATTGGAGTGTCTTGGCCTTGAATGATAAGCCTAAGTTCCTGCTGAAACATGTGGTAGGGCCTGGCAGTCGCGAGGTACCTCCTACATCTGCTTTCTGGCTGTGGTGACTTGGCACTTTTAACCTTATATATCTTTTTTCCTTTATTCAAAACAAAACAATTTTTAGCACACTGGAAAAAAAAAAAAGCCAAATGTTTTGTGCCTTTCTAAGGCAGCACTGTTTCCCAGGCTGCATTTTAGGACTTAATATGGAAACACCAGAGTCTGAGCTCCTCTACCTTGAGTATCCTACTGTAGAGTCTTGAGGACGGGAAGGAGTCTTTCTGTGGAGAGAGAGGTGGCACACAGGTCCAGTGTGTCTGTGGTCCCTTTCCCCCACGAGGTTTTGCTGGAGAGAGCAGCATTGTACCCTGGGATCATCTGGTTGGTTCCATTCAGCAGCTTGATTATCAGATTGGATATTTTGTCCCCTGTAGGAGACAGAATGTCCCACAATTTCTAGGTATATTCTGGACCATTCCAAGTGCACCCCCCCCCCCATCATGTTGATGACTGGTGCTGGAGAAGTGAAGGGTGTGGTCTGTGGAGAAGGGGAGGTGGGTCCATTTCCCTCTTTCTTTTTGCTGGATCCTGAGCCAGCACAGACCTGACTTTCAGACTTGCTCTCCTTTCATCTGAAGGCTTCAAACCTTTAAAGCATTAAGCAGCCAGTGCCCTCTACAGTGTCTCATTTTCCCCAGGTAGGGGCAGCAAGGAACACACCAGAAGCCTATAGGTATTGTGACTGTAATAGGTTTCAGGGAAAAAAAATGTTTTCTATACAGTGACATTTTACCTTATCTCTTACCCTTCCCTCAGTTCTTTCCTGCTTTTAACTAATAATTGGGAGATAGAAACAATTTTTATTATGGTCCTCCTTGTTCAAGATTTTGAAATTCTTGGCCTAGGTGGGGCTGAGGAGAACTTGATGTTTTCTCCAGTATGAAGAATCCCAATTTGTATATCAGTGTTAAGAAGAAAACAAAACACTTAGACGAGATTTTTCATGGACTATTTTAAAAAATGTCATTAATATAAAAAATTTATATTAGTATTTAATCATTCTCACCTGTAAAGAATAAGAAAAACAGAAGGTAAATATTCTTACAGAGAATAGCAGAGCTTTAAGATTCATTTTCAAGTCCATTTTGTTTTGCCAGTGTATTAATGTTAGAGGTCTGTTATACTAATGTTATTTATTAATTTTTTCATTTCCATATACAGTTAACTAAAGAGCTTTTTCAAGCACTCATGTCTGTAAAAAAAATATTTTTAAATAAAGTTTCTTTTATCGTAGCTTACTTGAATTTTTGCTCATTCCGGGCTGGGAGGTGCTAAATGGGGCAGCTCTGGAGCAGTTGCCAGGGCAGGTACTACTGACATGAGGCAAGTCTCAGTGACAAAACACATATGAAGTGACACAGCCCCAGCCAGCAGCCTGCCAGGCCCAGTGTGCAGCTGACTTCAGTGCATTCTGCATTCCTTTTGGTGCAGCTGCTGGTCAGAGTCTCCCCAGGCACCTTTGTACCGGTGATGATAGGAAGCAGTGTGAGATTCCTGGCACAATTAAGCTTTATTTTTCTTATATATATATATATAAAAGGAAACCATTTGCAAATTTACACACAAAACCATATACATATATATACACATACACATATGTGTAGGCACACATAGACATGTCCCGAAGCTCTGGCCAGACCCTCATTTTTCATCCCTAAGTACCACTCTCCCTTTTGGGTCTTTCTAGGGTCTGGGCCTGGTAGCTCAGTGTATAGATTTGGTATGATACAGCTATAGTCCTTAACACCATGAAGGACATTGGACTTCATCTTTGTCCCCAGCTCCCACCTTTCTGTCTCATATGGCCACTCTGAAAGGGTGCTGGGACCCATAAGAATACAGGGACCCTGGGCTCAGTAGCTCCCTGTGGAAACTGCCCAGCTTCCTCACTGCAGGGAAAGATCTTTGAAGGAATGACACCAGTATGTGGCTTCTGCCCAAGGGAAAAAAATGTCACAAAAGCAGCTCCAAAGAGGTGTGCAGGAAGACATCAGGCCTCTGCAGCTGATTCTGGATATGGCTGGGTATTGTCCAGAGCCAGAGTGACACTGTGACAGCAAACAGATGTCTGCATGCTCACATTAGGGGTACAACTGAGATACTGAAGCCTGAGGGGCGGGAAACCAGCACAGAGGGGCCACTCTGCTCCACTGCTGATAGAAGTATCTACAGTCATACCGTTGTAAGGAGAAAACACTTTCTGTGAGAAACTCTCCTCCCTACCCTTGGAGACTGAAGCCCCTTCTTGACAAGAGCATCACTTTAGTGGCCCATTCCCTGAAAGGGGGCCTCCAGGGCTGAGTGAGGTCCTCGTCAGGATGCATCTGGTCCTAGCCTCTGGGCCTCTGGAACTGGTCTTCGGGTGAGGTGGAGCAGGGATCTTCTCTGTAGTCCCTCTGGAGGCTTTGGCTGGGAAGCAGAGTGAGCAAGAAGCCGGAAACATTCCAGGCAGGGTGGGAGCTGAGTGGGATTTGGGCTAATGCTTCAGATCGATGTATTTCTCGCCCTAAAAATGGATAGAGAATAGTAAGGGGAATGTAGGTTCAAGGTGTGAGCACTAAGAGGATGGACTGAAGCGGAAGCTGATGGACTCTGCAGCAGCCCGGAGGGAAGAAGCAGGGATAGTTGTGGAGGCCAGAGAAGGACAGGCGGCCCCCAACTCTGCCTCAGTGCTGGGGAAATGGAAGTCACACTTCAGACTTCCAGGCCATAGCCACAGGCTTGTTTAGAAAAAGATGATAACAGGACAGGGGCTTTGCTTTGTTTTCCTCTGGGATCCCTCTGCCCCTTGTCCTGCCTGTCATCTATGAGTAGTGTTAAAAAGACAAGAAGGGCCTGCTCCCTTTCTCCAAGAAGGAGAAAGGCAGAAAGAGTTAGTGTTCAGGGAATGAGCACCATTCGCCCCTGTTGCGCCCACTCCCTGAAGATACATCAGGCACTGGCCACAGGAACTGCCTCCTACCTGGTCTCCTGGAGCCCTCTTGTCACCGATGCTGCCCTGTAGGAGGCCCATCTCTTCTGGGAGATTATCTGACTTAACTTCAACTACACATTCACTCTTACGAGACGCGGGCATCGTGCTGGGAGGAGGGAGGCAAGAGGTTGGCAACTGGGGGAAGGGAAAGAGAGGGCCCACTGGGAAGGGGGCTGCATGGATGACACTCTTTGGTTCTCTGGGGCCAGCTCAGGAAGGAAGCAGATAATTTTGGGAGATAGTGTGATTGATGGCAGCTGGGTAGCAGGCATGAAACAGGAATTGCTCCAACCCAGGGTCCCTCTGCTGCTCTTGGGTGAGGGGCACTGGGGCAGACCGGGGACTGTCCCTGAGGAGACAGCAAGCTGGGCAGCAGGAAATGACAGCGGGTGGCAGGGACTTGGCCCCGTGCTTACATCTCTTGTTTGCCTGACCGCCCACAGGGCAGTTTGCCCTTCTTGTAGAGGAAATAGAGGACAGCGCCCAGCACAGCCAGAACCAGGATGCACACAATCACAGCTACAATGACCACGCCCTTGCTCTCCTGCTCCGGCAGCTTTCTCTCTGTGGCACAAAGACGCTTAGAGTCACTGCCTGCCCCAGGTGCCACATTGCCATCACAGCCCCGCCCAGCCCAGGATGACAGGAGATGAGCCGCTACTCACCTCCTCAGTTGAGGGAGCCGGGGCAGAAAGGGTGCCCAGACTGATCCTGTTCTCTTGCCAGGCCCTGCTTACCTGTGGAGGTGCTGTTGGCTCTGGCATGAGGACTGACTGTGGAGGTGCTGGGGCCAGCGGGTGTGCTGGAGTCTGGTGTGAGGGTGGTTAAACCGACTGGGAGGCAGAGGGGAGTTAGGAGAAGCACACGTTAATGCCCGCGCCTGGGCATTCCCTGCCATCCTCTGCAGGGAAGTGGCCCTCACCTTGATTCAGGAAGATGGTGGTGATGTTTCTGCCCAGGGAGTTGGAGGCTGTGCATTGTACGCTTGTCTCCAGCAGCTCTGGGGTCACAAGGACATTCACGGTGCTTAGTACCCTCTGTGGGTCTTGCTCTTGTTCACTTGCCTATGAGCAAGGAGAGAGCTCAGGAGGGCCGGAGCAGGCAGGATCTCCAGCATCCACGGAATAAAGCCTGGGCAGTGGTTAATTACAGCCAGGCCTGCTCACCGTGCCGTTGACATTCCAGGAGATAGAGGGCCGAGGGTACCCTGATGCCTCACATGACAGATTCTGCATTGTGTCCTCTTTCACCCACATTTTCCTCTCCTTAAATGCCATCCACGGGGGGCCTTGGGAAGGAAGGTCAGGAAGAGTGAGGGAGCACACTTGCTTAGCCAGCCTCCTCCTCCCCCAGGAGCTCCCAGGGCAGTGGGTGGCTTTTTGGCCTCAAAGAGCTCAAAACCACCCAACTTGGGATGACTTGGTCTCCATCCCAAGGGCCTCACCAAAAATGGCCACGTTGACCAGCTGTGTGTGGTTCAGGCCAGGTACACTGGGCACAGATGCCACGCAGCGGTAGCCACCCCCTGCCTCCCGTTTCAGGCTGAGTAACTGAAGCGTAGGCCCCTCTTCCAGCACCTGGCCTGTCTAGGGGGAGAGGCAGGTCAGAGGGCCTGGGAAGCAGTAAGCTGTTGTCACCCACAGTCACAGACTCGCCTGGGTACCTTTTCTCTCAGCCACTGGAATGCAAGGGCCTGGTTACTCTCCGCCTCACAGGTCAGTGTGAGGCTGCCACCTTCCTGGCCCTCAGGGGCTGCAGGGCTCACTCGAACATCGGACACATCTGGAGGCACAGCAGTAATGTCAGCCTGGGCAGGTCAGGGCCTGTTCTGTCTTGACCCAGCTAGGTCCCCCTGTCCTGGGCCCCCAGCCCCTCACAGTTCACCAGAAGCTTCTCGGTGTCACTTGACAGTGATGTTATGTCTTCCAAGTCCAGGCCCTGACACTGGTAGACCCCACTGTGCTGCTTCTGGGCAGGCTCCAAGACCAGGATGCCATTGTCAGGGGTTTCCTGTTCCTCCATCTCCCCGGTCCTTGGGTTCTGGGAGGGGATGGAGGGGTGAGTAGAGTGCCCCAGCCACTCCCCTGCATCCCTGCCTGTGCCACTGCGCCCAACCTGGAGGCCTCCACACCTTCTTGTTGATGGTGAAGTGGGGCGCAGGGTTGCCGTCAGACAGACACCTGATTTCCACTCGGTCCCCTTCCTTCAGCATTCCCACAGGCTCCACTTCCAACCACAACTTTTCTGCGGGGTCTGCACAAACAAAGGAAAGTGTTCTCAGCCCAGGAAGTAGCCTGAGACTGGATGGGCAGGGTCTGACGGGAGTTTCCACCAGGTCTACCCCAGCGAGCAGAGGGCTGGGTAGTACTCACAGAAAACAGGGACAGTGACCTCCCTAGATTCCTTCATGTGGTTCCCACTGGGCAGCCGGTAGTTAAGCTCACAGTAAAACTGGGCATCCTTGTCTTCCTTAGCTAGCTGTGCCTTCAGGATGCTCTTCAAGGTGTATAAGCCACTTGACTCCACAATCTGTGATGACTGAATGTGGATGCCTGGGCAGAGAGGGAAGGAGCAAGGCTCAGCCTCAGCCCTACCCTGTTGTCTCCTGGAAGGCAGGCTGGCAGGGGGCTATCTCAGGATCCCTGTCTTGTAGACAGGTGTGATGTGCACACCTGTAATCCCAGCACTCTGGGAGGCTGAGACAGGAAGACTGCATGTTAGAGCCCAGCCTGGGCAACTTATCGACTCAGTAAAACCCTGTCTCCAAAATAAAAATGAAAAAGAGCCGGGGATGTAGCTCAGTGTGAAGATCCTGGGTTCAATCCCTAGTACCATGAAAAAAAAAAAGGAAGGACCCCTGTCCTGCAGAGGACCAAGGTCAAATGCAAGGAGGTAACTCTTGAAGTCAGCACTTTTGCTGCATGGTATCTACCCTAGACAAACACAGGCACACAGTGCATACTACGGTGTGGGCCAGAAGGGCTGCAGTGATGAAGAAAATAAGGGGCTGAGGGTGTGGCTCGGGGCAGAGCATATTCTTTACATGTGCAAGGGCCTGGGTTTGATCTCACACCATCCCCCCCACAAAATAGCCAAGGAGAGTAGAAAAATGAGAAGCACTTGACTTGCACTAGCAGGAAAATGGTTAACTAAACAACATCATAATATAGACAGTCTGCAAAACTGAGCAGTAGGCGAAGCAAGCAGATACATCTTTATAGACATCAGGAAAGATGACACAAAATGAACTGTACAGCAGTGTACACAATAAATTACCACTGAGGTCAGGGTTTCTCCACCTCAGCATATTGGTGTTCTGGGCCAGAATTAATTCTTTGCGGTGGGGCTGACCTGTGCAGTGCAGGGTGTTTAGCAGCATCCCCGCCCTTTACCCACTGGTGCCAGTAGCACCCACTGGACTTGTGATAACCAAAACACCACAGACACTGCCAAGTATCCTGGGGTCAGGGGGCAGTGCAAAATCACCTCTGGTTAAGGACCACTGATCTATGCTTCTAGAAATATTTGTATGACACTTAAAAGGCTGAGATAGGAAGGTGATGAGTTTGAGGCCACCTTGGGGTATATAGCAAGTTCAAGGCTGGCCTGGACTACAAAGCAAGATCCTGTCTCAAACCACACACACACACACACACACACACACACACACACACACACACAGAGGTGCCTTGAAGTAGAATATAAGTGGAAAAGTGATGTTTGACATTACAATGCTAATCCTTAAGCACAGAGTCCAAGATAACTCAGTTTTAATTATCTTCTACACTTCTTCTGCAATAATTATAACGTGTTTTTACTAATAGAAATATGTGTTTGGATGCACTCTTTAAAATTTCCTTCATCAGGGCTGGGGATTTAGCTCAGTGGTTTAATTGCCTGCTGCACAAGCATAAGGACCCAAGTTCAATCCCCGGTAACAAAAAAAAAAAAAAAACATTTCCTTCATCTAGTTTTTATTCCTTTTTCTTTGATTTTAAGAAATAAAAAATATAGAAAAGTACTAAGAATAATGTCAGACATGTACCAGCATCCATACATGTACAATTTAAATGATTTCATGTATGTTCTTTAATTTCATAAAGTAATAAAATGGATTATGCACTAAACACACACACACAGCTGGGCATGATAACTCATTTGTAATCCCAGGACAGTGGGAGACTGAGGCAGCCTGGGTTACTTGGTGATTTAGTGAGATTCTATGTGAAAGTCAAAAAGGGAATGGGATGTAGCTCAGCATGAGGGCTGTGGGTTCAAGCCCCAGTACTGAAAAAAAATTAATTTGTATTTGTGAGTAAATAAACAGAAATAGGCCTGAAAGAACCCACTAACTAATAACAGCAGAGGTTACTTCTGGGAAAGGGCAGGAAGGGACTCCTAGCTTTTCTACAGAGTTTTAATTCTGATGAGAACATTAGCAGTCATCACTTACACAATTTCTTTTTAAAGTAAAAGCTAAAAGGAAAGGCAAAGTGGTCCCTGTGTGGCACCACAAGCAGAAAAGACCACTCACGGTTCTTCTCCTCCTTCAGGGGCCGCCTGTTCTTGTACCAGATGACCTGAGGGAAGGGGTAACCGTTCCTCCCCACACAGGTGGCGATCTGAGAAGGACGAGGTGTGAGTATCCTGACTCTGATGTCCCCCCCAAGTCCCACCTGCCCCCCCCAAGCCCCACCTTAGCCCTGCTCACCACCCACTCCCCAGCAGAGCTCACCTCCTCCAGCTCATGGTTGTTCACAGAGATGCCATTGGTACTGATATGTATGGTTGGCTCCTCTGGAGCTTCTACAAGGGAAAGGAAATGAGCAGCAGCCATGAGACCCCATTTCCATGACCCACACCGCTCCAATGGCAGGAAGGGGGCAGGGGCACTCACTGTAGACACGGAGCTGGATGCGGTGCTCCTGGGCCCGAGGGCGCTTGCTCTGGCACAGAAAGACTCGATCATCATGAGGGATGACTTGAGTCAGGACCAGGGAGGCCCCAGGGCCCTGGAGGCTGAGGCGGTCATGGTACTGACCAGGTTCACTCTGGCCCTGGCCCTGGCGCACACGGAAGATGAGTGTCTGCTTTTCCTTGTGGATCTGGGGGGAGGGGCAGAGAGTTGAGGGTGCTGGGGGTACCTGGGGGCAGAGCCTCGCACCTCCGCCCCTCCCAGGGGAGCCTTGGCACTCACAACAAACCAGTCCACATGGCTGAGGTTGCTTGAGGAGTCCAAGGGGCACCTCAGAAGGGCTGTGCTGCCCACTTCCACCTCCACCAGTTCGGGTGTGGGCTGCTCTGCCTCTCCAGGCACACCTGGGGTGAAAGAGGGGGCAACCCAGCAGCTGTGTCAGCTCCAACTGCTCTTCATCCCCTCCCCTCACACGACTCACTGCAGCTGTTCAGCCAGCCACTGGGAAGGTCTGGAGAAGGCCTTTCCCTGTCCCAACACCCAACCTCACCGTCCACCCTCTCCAGTGCAGGAGATCCCTGGTCCTTGGGGCAGAGACTGAGCCCTGGGTACCTCTAGCAGAGGCTGGCAGAAGTGCAGAGAGGGACAACTCAGGATCAGGGCCAAGAGGAAGGCCCCTTTCCTCCAGAGCCCCCTCCCCTCCTCTCTGAGTGAGCTCAGAGTGTGAGAATGCAAGGCATGTGCCAGGCTGGGCACACAGGCCCCTTTGTGTCCCACCCCCAGGAGAAGACGTCACTACTCTACCCTCTGCCCTCAAAGTCCCCTAGAAGTCCCCCAGAAGACCCAGTGGTAATTGTGGCCAGAAGCATTGAGAGTTCATACTCTCAATGAACATTCGAACATTGGGAGTCTGGTATATGGAGGGGTCCGAATCTCCCCCAGGGGTCACGGCCACAGCCAGGCAGTGGGCAGGAGTGACGTCAGTGGCGCTAGCATGCTGCCGGCTCTGTGAGGAGGTGATGTCACTGACCACCATCTGCCTAGACCCTGGGATGCCTGGGTTGTTGCCCTGGGCTGGCAGGAAGGGCAGGTGGAGTGGTCTTCAACCCAGAGCAGAGGCCTCCAATCCCTGACTCTGTTTCCCCAGACCCAGGTCAGCAGGGCATGATGGAGCTGGACCTGCTACAGCGTGGCACCCGATTTAGCCCTTTCCCCAGAAAAAAGGTCAGCCCTGGAGGCAGGAGGCTGGAGTGCCCCAGGGACATGGTTGGCAGGGCCTGAGCACTGGAAGCAGGTCATTCCTAGCCTTCCTCTCCCCAGCCAGACAGCTCCTGGGACTGGGGTATGGAGCTAGGAGGAATGCGCCACGCTGCCACGAGCCCTACAAGGGCAGCAGGGAACTGGAGCTACTAGGCGGTTCCAGAGAAAAAGCTCCGAGGTGCCCTGGAGCTCTTTCACCTGACCGTGGTCCCCGAAATAAGTTTGCTGGCGCTTCCACTCTAGAAAGCCTCCATCTCTTGTCTCTGCCACCTGTGATCCTGTCACACACACCTCCCAACCTCATGAGGCGCCAGGAGACCCTCACACCCTGCAGCCGCTGCCAACGCCCAACCGGGCGGGAGCGCCGTCCCTCAGCCTCCCGCTCACCTCCACCCTGGCGCGCGGCCCAGGCGGGGGGGAGGGGGCGGCGCACCCCTCGAGCTAGAGAAGCTGCCTTTTCCAGCAACAGGCGGGCGCGGGATCCGGCCCCGGGGATGCGCTCTAGCTGCGTCTCCCGCTCCGGCTGCAACTGCGGGTCCGCAGGGTGAGCACCTGCGGGGAAGACTCCCCCGATGCCGCCCCGAGAGGCTCGGCTCCACTTCTTCCCGCTAGTGGTCGCAGCCTCCTCCCCGCCTCCCAGGTCCTGCTCCCAGGATACTCTAGGATCCCGGCTGCAAACTGGCTGCAAGAGTTGCACGCGCGCAAGGCGCCCGAGACCAGAGACCCGGTAGGGCGAGCGCCCTCCCCAGCCCCGCCGTGCTGCCGGCGCTGCTCCCCGCATACTTGGCTGAAGACCCCGGCCCCGCTGCTGCAGGGTGCGGGCCTCCGAGAATTCACTTACCCGTGGCGCGGCGATAGCAACAGCACAAGGCGAGCAAGAACGCGCAGGCGATCCTGGGGAGACCCATACTTCTCGGCCAGAGGGCGAGAGCCAAGTGAGCAGCTCGCGGCTGTCGGGGGCTGACGTCAGGGGTGGCGGGGGAGGGGGCCCAGTGCCGTCCGCCCCGCCCCGCGCAGCCCCCTGCCCCCGCCCCGTGTGCCGCAGCCCTAAGGGGCGGGCCCGGCTCTGCCCGGAGCTGCTCCGGAGAATTCGGCCCGAGTACGCCCCAGCTGCCCTTGTAGCCCTCGGCTTGGGAAGGCAGAGGGGGCCGTGACAGGTGTCCTGAGGCCGGGATGACTGGCCAAGGCAGTAGCTACAAGCTGGCCCGGATACCCAGCGTCGTCGCAACCACCCCACTCAGCCCCGCCAGCCCGTGTCACCTTGGGGAACCTCCTGGCTGAGGAGTAACGACTAGTCCTCGATGTCCCCGGTGGGGGCTTCCCATTCAGGCTCCTCTGCCCTACCACAGAGCAATCGGGGCGGGCCTTGGTCGCCTCCCAAACTGATTGCTCCACTGCGGCTGCAGCCGACCTGGCACTGCCCCCAGCCTCCTCGCAGACCTGGCAGCTCTCAGAAGGAACGTACGCCAGGTCCCACAGACCCAGAGGTACCTGCAGGGGGAGTGGAGATGGTGCCGTCTGGGTTGTCGTTCTCAGCCAAGCCAAACAAGTCTGGCTTGGCCTAGAGAAGGGAGGGAGAGGGCAGGGTCCACAGGCCCAGGGTATTCACATTTGTCCAAGCCCAAGCGTAAGAATTCTGTTCTTGCCCTTTTCACTCCTTGAGCCTGGCCTCGGACTCAATTTCCTCTCACCTGAATGAAGGAAAAAGAAGAGAGAGTTCATGGATGCAGGGTTCCAGCTTGACCCCCAGAAGATCCTTGCTCACCCTGATGCACAAAGGGACTCTGCAGCATTATTGTCCCCCAGCTCCTTGGGGGCCCCACTGGCTGGGACTCAGCAGGTGGAATAGGGCTCCGTGGAGGAGGAGTCAGATCTGGCTGCCACTGCCAGGCATCTGTGCCTGAGCTGCTTTGCCACAGGGGAAGGTGTAAGGAACCTTCCCCAAATGTCAACCTCTCCCTGGGTCTTCTGGCCTCTTGATGCAACAGAAGAGGGTGGCTCTTGCCTCACAGAGACCCCAGTACCCTGGCTTTGTGAAAGGGCCCCTGTCTGGTAGAACTCCTCCCCCAAGGAGGGTTGGATAGGGCCTGGGTTTGGGGTGGAGGTCTGTTACCCTGTGGGCAGCCATCCTGTGGGCTGGGGGAGGGGCAAGGTAAGGCAACAGAGGCTGAGATAGCTGGGTGACTTGAGAGAATGCTCTGATGATGCAGAGATGACTGGCAAACCACATCAGCCTTGTCTTTCAGCCTTCTGACCCCTCCTCCTTGTCCATTAGTCTCTAGCCAGAGGCCAGGCTGGCCAGGCCAAGGCCCTGGAGCCTGAGGGGAGAGAGCAAGAGGAGGATCCTGGCTCCCTGCCCCGCCAGGGTAGATGTATGGCTCTGGCTCAGGGCCCGGAGTAGACTGGAATGGATGAACGTGTTTGTCTGCAGGGCAGGAGCACGAATGGCTGAAGGATGCTATTTGCCCTGGCAGGCCAGGAGCTGGGCATGGAGCAGCTCCTCAGCCCCACCCGCTCCTTTTCACTTAACACCATTAACTAATCATTTTCTTCTCCGGTGGCCTGAAAACAAAGTCAGCTAACCACCAAGGACAGTCAGTTCTGAATTCTCTACCCTTAGGAGAGTAAAGCCAGGTGGGGGTTGGAGGAGCCTCTACGGTGAAAAGGAAATAAGATTAGAGGCCAGGATGACAGCCCCTGGCCTGCTTGGTCCTAGCAAACAAGCACAGAGACTGTCCTTTAAGACAGCCAGTAGCCTAGAGCCAGGATACAGTGGGTAGGCAAGGTCAGGAGACAAAGATTAGGGATGGTTTCCTAAGGAGAGCACTTTGGGATTCCAAACCAAGCAGGGTTTGGACCCTGGAGAGGATTCAGGGGGGTCCAGAAAAGGGAAGGACAGGAGTAAAGGCAGGAGAACAGGTCAGGAGGTAGTGGAAATGGTCCTCAGCTTCCCTAAGACACCAGAGGATCAAGCTCCAGGGACAACAGCAGGAAAGAGACAGTGGCAGCAGTGGAACTCCCAGCAAGCAGGGACTGAGACTCAGCAACAGGGAGATGGAGATGATGGGCAGAGATGGCACCTGGCAGAGACTCAAGCACCTGGCCTGGGTAGGAGCAGCCTAGCCCAGATGTAGGCCAAGGCCGGAAGACAGGCCTCTGGGGGCAGAGTCCTAATCCTCTGCCTCATTTCCCTCCAGAGTTGGGGGGGGAAACTGCTGCTTTCCCCCACCCACGTGGGAGACCTGGGCTGCTAGAGAAAAGTCCCTTCTTTTTGGAATGCCTTGTGTGTCTCTCTGGCAGGTCTGATCACAGGAGGAGAAACTGAGGCTGGTTGTGGTCCTGGTCTGGCCCCTGGGTGGGTAGGGCTCTCCACCAGCATAAGTGGGCAAAAGGAGAGTCGACAGTAAAAGGATAATGACAGGGAAGGATGGAACCCAGGAGTTTCCCTCAGCTCTTAGAGAGCACCTTCTGGCGAAGGGGCCATACCAGGAGGATGTAAGAAGGGCGGGCTGGGCCAAGGAAGAGGAAGGAAGCTGAGAAAGATGTGTTTGCAGCTGCAGAGAGAAGACGATGGGGTGGGGTGAGGTGGGGGTGGCCCAGCAACCTTGGCAACTATGGAGTCTGGGGAACCCCCTAGCCTGACCAGAAAATAGAATCCAGCCTGGGTCTCTTTGGAAGGGAAGTCAAGAGACTTTTCCAGAGTGGGGGTCTGATGGTAAGGAGATTGTGCTGAGTGAAAAACAGGGTGGGAGGAGGGTTGGGGGCAGTTGCTCCTGAGAACATCCTAGGGCCAGGAAACAGGATACTGGAGGGCTGGGTGGAAGATGAGGGGGAAGAGATTGAATGAGGGGAAGCAGCCCTGCTCTTGGCTCCCGACACAGTCTAATCCATGTCCTTGCACCTGACCCAGGGCAGAAGGAAGGAGGTGCAGTCAGGATGGAGGTGTGCCCCGGCAACACCATGGGAGAGGTGGAGGGCGGGTTGGGGGGATGGGATATTTTTAAACTTGGGAAAACCGACAGTGAGTTCATCCCCACCCTGGTGGCTGCAAAGGCCCCATTGTGCAGGGGTCTGGAGAAGGGGGAGCGGGGAGTGGTGGCACAAAGGCCAGGCTTATGCTAGAACAGGCAGGGGTAGCACAGGCTGGGGGAGGGGCGGCGGCGGCCCAGCTGGCCTAGTGAACTCCAGGTCGGGCTAGGCTGGGCTTGTTGGGCTGACGCTGGGGGTGGGGTTCCACCTTCACAAAGCCCCCTGTAGGGGAGCTGGGGTCTCTGGCATCCGGTGGCTCGTCCTAGGGAGGGGGCTGATTGTGGGATTCCCTCTGCTTGGCTTTCCCAGGAACCGCAGGGTCTGTTCCCAGGCTCCCAGCATTCCGGGGACTCCCCTGGGAGCTGCTGGCCTCTCCTCTCGGCCCCTTCCCTGCCAGAGAGTCGGGGGAAGGGGGTGCCGGAGAAAGAGGATGTGGGTGCATGGGGACTCTTCCTGGGGACTAGGGACACCACGAGAGGGCGGCAGCTGTGACTGAAAGGGTCACAGCCCTCCCATCTTAGCCCCCAGCCGCAGGTCTGGCCCACTTGTCCCCGTGACCCGAGGGGTCAGGCAGCCCACCTGCCTGACCTCCGCGCTCCACGCCCAGTGCCTGCACCGGGCTTCGGCAGTGGCGCTTCCCGCCGGCTCCCGGCTCCCGGCTCCTCTGGGAGCCCCGAGCCCTTCTCCGCGAGTCCGGCCGGGCTGAGGCCGGGGGAGGCGGGGCATCCGGCCTTGCGCATCAACCCAAACATTACCATAAATGCTCAGGCTGCCGCAGCGGGTTCGGGAGGGGGACCTTGGGGCTCTCCGGAAGCCCAGAATCTGGTATCCACGCCTTTCCCAACTTGGCCTCTTACAGTGATTCAGTTTGTCCCTTCCGGCCGCCCTCTCTGCAAAAGGGGGGTGTGTGTGGGGACGCTGGCGAGAGAACCAAGGCTGCGAGGGGAGTCCGGGTCTCGGCTCCTGGGTGGCCAGTGTGGTTGTGACCCTGGACAGAGAAGAGTAGGACCCTCCAGGCAGGATTTCAGGATCGCTGCAGGAGTCGCTCTCGGTCTCTGCCGGACCCACCTGGGGCAGCGGTGATTTCCTGGGTCTCCGTAATCTCTGGCCTCAGGGTCCCTAACTACATTTGGAGAATGGGGGATGGTGGGAGCAGGACATGACGCTGAGAATTGACACCTCTCCCTTTCAGGGACCTTCACATCCGGTCCCCAAAATAACCACCACCCAGGCAGGGGAATGTCTCCAGAGGGACATTCTGTTTAAATTTGACTTTGAGCTGTCCCTGAAGGAAGGCCAGCTGGCCTAGTGTGGGGAGCCTGTGGGAACCTGGGAGTGCCGTGTTCTGGGTCTCCAGGTCCCTCTCCTCCCTGAAGGAGCCTCATGGATTTCCTCTGCCCTTAGCTTTGAGCAAGCCAGGAGAGAGCCTGGACTCCCCTGGAGTGGGAAAGTGTAGAGGTGAGATTGATGTAGGGAAAAATTTAACTCCCAGCCTGCTAGATGTCAAATCTGCTGAGTTCATGTTCCCTGAAATCAGAATTAATTCTAAGGAACCACAGAGGCTAAGAGTAGCAAAAATTTATTGACAGATAGCTTCTGAGAGACAGGAGGGGGCCCAAAAAATGGGTTGCCACAGAGCCCACTTCGCTGAGAAAGTTTTTTACAACAAAATCACGAGGTGGATACAAAATCACGATTCCAGCACTCTGGGAGGCTGAGGCAGGAGTACCGTGGGCCAATAATTATATTTCAACATCTTTAGCTCTGAGGGAAATGCAAATCAAAACTCCACTGAGATTCCATCTCACCCCAGTCAGAATGGTTATCATCAATGTGGACATCAACAATGTGGATGAAACTATGATCAACTAATAAGATTACAAGTATAGACGCTTAGGTAATAGTGATCCAGTAGGGAAGCAGGTTGCATAGGAAGGGTACATGGAAAGAACAAAAACACTTTGGGGAAGGAATAGGTTCAGAGGTTCTGGTTGGGTGACTGAAATCTAGCTGGACTTTACTGGACCAGGTGATACCAATTAAAGTATAATCTCAAATTATTGCCTATCTCTGAGGGAGGCATGTAGGCCTGGCCATTTCATCTTTATCTTGAGGCCTGGCCTTTGACAGATGCACCTCCAGCTACAGTTTTTGGTATGTTCTCATCTCTTGCAATGATTCTTGAGAGCCTAGCCCTGTCTGACTGCCTACAACATTTCTACTTAATTTAGCTGTTTATAATAACAGGGAAGAAGAGGAAGAGCAGGACTAAGGCCTGCTCCTCTTGCACCCCGTATCTCGCTGGTTGGGCATCAAGGGAATTTGAGAAGTGGAGAGGATCCAGGATGTGGAGTGACTGGAGCCAGGTCAGATGATGGCCCCTTCACTTC